TTCACTGATGGTAGGAAGGAGAGAGACCGTGAATAGCCTTGAATAGCCTTGAAAGTGAGATGCAAGATCTTGAATTGAATTCTCTTTACGACAGATAGCCAGTAGCCTCCCACGCAGACGTTCTTAGGGTTCGGCGGGTTTCGGGTTCGGCGGAACGCGTGACGAACCCCTAAGAACGTCTGCGTCGGAGGCTAGATAGCCAGTGAAGCTGTCGCATTGCAGGACTGTTATATGGCAGAATTTACTAAGGTCAAGAGCAATGCGAGCAGCAGCGTTCTGTACTCTCTGCACGTAATTTTGAAACTTGACACTGCGGGAGGCCATACATGAGGCTATTGCAATTTTCCAGCCGACCTGTGACGAACTTGCATAGATAAGAGTTACTAGACAGTCTTGTGACAGGTATTTTTAGTAATCCTTCTGAGGTTATGCAATCCAGAGCTGCATACTTTGTTTTGATGAGCTTCCATAGACAACATTGAATCAAACCAAGCACCAAGATTTCTTATTTCTTACGCAATTCACAGGTTCTATATCCATTGTTCCAACTCTTAAAGGGAGTGGTTAGACTTTGCTCAGTTCTCGACCAGTGCCACTTTATATAGCAGAAATTCCGTCTTCTCATCATTCACTAATAGACGATCGTTAACCATACAGTGCCGTATGTCCTCTATACAGCTTTCCATTGCTTGAATGGCATCCGTCTGAGATGACAGCCCATCAGCATAATGCGGGTATCAGCGGCCATCCCGGGGGGTCGACTCCCGGGGAACCCGCGGGCTACCCACGGGAATGGCAGGGGATTTGTTGCAAAACTTTGCCCCAGAGCGTGGGGAAATCGCGTTCCTGGGCAAACCTCCCCGCGAACCTACCGATTTGCAAATGATCTAGCGCCAAGATGGTTAGGCTCAGTCTCCAGCCATGGGTGCCTTGATGAGCCCGTGGTACTCCCCACCCGACGGCCGGGCGCACGGGCTAAGATTCTTGTACATGTACATGGTGGGTAATTTATGCAAGACGATTTTTCCTCATGAACGCCGGCGAACTATCTCCCGTAGATACCATAGAGAGTTTTTTTCCGCGTCGTAAAAGGAAAATTCAAAACTAATGCTCAGTTTCTTTTTTGTGGAAAAAGAAAAGCTTTCAGCAAGGAAAATTGACTTCAATGACTTCGACCAAGTGTTCTTCACGGCAGAGCGCTTGTCCTGTTTTGAAATGCAACCAAGACAGCGAAGTTTATAAAGAATTTTCAGGTACATATTTCACATAATGGCCAAATAAATTACACTTTCAAAAGGGAATTGGCGTATTTATCAAAGTTTTATAGATGTTTCATACATTTTGACTTATAATTGGCTTAAAAGAAAAATTGGAAAAGCCCCGATTTGAGAAGGATTTATGTGTTGAATATTACCTTGTGTTCTTTCATTAAAGGAAAGAATCGTAGCTTACTAAATTGAAGCTACACTAACTGCTGATGAGAATGGTCCTGTCAGCCAATCATGACATAATTCTTCAAGCGTAGATACAACAGTATACAATCCATTTTGTTTTTCTTGAGGTAAGTGGGTCTTTGGACTGAAGCGCGATGTGTCATTCCTTCGTTGGTAATTTAATTTTGAGTTAGCTTCAAAGTCGAGCAACTGTTCTGTTCTGACCCATGTTCTAATCAACTTTTCAAGTGCCAGTTTTTATCAGGCAACACTCATGTTAATACAGCTACTTAGGTCACTGACACGTCCCCAGTCGTCTCTTTTGTCTCTTAATTAAACAACATATAGATTTAGCCAAGGCTAAAAGCGAAGCTCTCTTAATTTTAATACTTATAGTCTCCTCAAAGAAAATATAAAATCGATTAATACTACAACGAGAACGGTAAAAAACAACAACAATATATCTAATTAGTAAAAAACAATTTTGCATGTGCAGCACACTATTTTCTACACTTCCTTGCCGCTGTTTTGCACTACTAAAACGTGAAACTTCTTTTAACTTCCTAGTCACACGTTTTTTCTCTCTAAAAGTCCGGGCGGCCATGTGATTTACCGCCGAAACGAGTGGGGCGCTTGAGATGCAAAATTTCATCTCAGCTATAACCAAGAGACTATAAAGGGGACAGAGAGGGCATCCCCCATATACACCCTATTCCATACGTAATTCGTCTCGAGTTATTTTTAACACCACAGATCTCAAGAGGGATTAGACAACAGCCAATCACATAGCGCGAATGTGCTCCGCGTGGATGACCCACGCTGAGAGCCACGCGTCCTTCACGAAATGACGCGGAACAAAATGGGGGAAGACGCGGAGAGCGATTTTGCTATTCCTTTTGTCGACGAAAACGACTACAGCGAGATTTCTGCGAAAGCTGTGTCAGCGAAACCGAAATTAAAAAAGAATCGCCCTTCCTCTCTTGTATAGAGCTAACAGAAGAGCAGGGAAATCCTTAACACACTGAATATTCTCTCAGGATCATTTATAATTTACAGTTTGAAGAGAGCAATTTCTGGTTTGATGTTTATTTTTTTCAGTCTTTGTAGCGATTATTCCTACCCACTTAATTTGTCAATTGTAGGCGAACCCTCCTAAAGCTGAATTTCAAGGGACCATATTCAAGCTCAGAAAGAGAATTGAAATTTCGTCGTTGCTTATTTACGTCCTCCATAAAACGCGAAATTAGGCATTTTCACGTCGTAGTCGTGCAAAAACGGGAAAGAAATGAACAAAAAAGTGTGTTGCACGTGCTAAGTTGTTGTTTTGCTAATTAAATCTATTGTTTTTTTGACGTTCTAGTTGTCGTCCGCGTCGTTGGATCTTAAACTCCCTAAATTGTACAAACGATCGCTTTCAATAGACCGGCGAAATTTCTCATTTTATTAAAGCATTGAGGTTACGAAAACTTCGAGTTAAACTGATTTCACGGGTTGTCAAAGAGTCCAGCGATTCCTTTTTCCCAGGTGAGCGCCGACTCATATCGCTTCAATATTCAGGAATGCTCTCGATCTTTTACGCTTTCATTGCCTCTCGCCCGACATGTTTTGCACGGCGTTTGGTCATGCGAAACCTCCACGAAACATCCAGGTCTCGCGCGAGGTAACTTTATCCCGATTCTAAAAATAACTCGAGACGAATAACCTATGCTCGTAAAATGGCTTATTCTTCCTGCCGGCAGTGCTCGTAAAAACGGCTTATTCTGCTCAAAATTCTGCTCGGACACCTTTAATTTCTCGTCGAATTTTGCTCGGTATCCTAACTCCCAAGAGAAACTGAAGACAATGCCTATGCAAAATTTTGGAGTGGCCAACAAAGAGATATTATGGTATGTTATTGTATTTTCTGTAGTGGTCAATTCATCTTTTTTGTTGTTGTTGTTACTGTTAATGTGAGTGCGTTGTAGCTATAAAATAAACAAATTAATCACAAGGTATTTTCCATTTGTTCTTTATTTAGTTTTAATTTCACTCATAACTATTATGCATATCATTAGTGCGGCTGATTTTTCTCCCATTCTGCTCGAAAATGCCTTATTCTGCAGGCAGAATGCTTGCTTCAAAAACAGAGATTCCAACTAGGGCTTTCCACAAGTTGCTCGGCAACTTTTTGGTAACTTCCGTATTTCGAGCTAGCCTGAGACTAGCCTCCGCTGCCCTCTTTATAATAGATCCAAAATTGGTGATGAATTCCACTTTTTGTTGAAATGTAAGCACTCATCACTTTCTCATATAAGGGGTATCTTCTTGGAGAGCTTATACTCGATAAACAGTAATTTTACGAATATGTCTTGCAAGGAGCTATTTTAATATATCATGTCTATGTGCGATAAAAACTTCATAAATCTTAGAGCCCATTATTGAAAACATTCTAAGTTGTACTATATCCTCACTGTCTACCACTTAACACATCGCGAAACTAAGTTATGGGAGAGAGATCCGCGGATTGTTGTGGAAAGAGGTAGACAGCAAGAATAGATCACGATATGTGAGGAGTTGTCAACCAACACCAGGGGAGGAGGGTGGGGCGAACCTTGATAAGTCGTCTCGGCGGTCGGCGCTGTGACACAGTGAAATCAAAGCCACGTGGTGTATTCTATTTATCAGGGGAGCCCGCAGTGCATTGATGCGTCCCAAAGGACGGCGGAGTATTTTACTGGTCGTTTGGCGATGCGTTAATTCATTATTCAGTGAGAATAGTTATAAATCCGAACTCTAAGTTAACTTTCTTAACATACGAGTAGCATAGGAGCTGTACATAGCCGAGTAATTTTCTATGTTAATGTTCAATATATAGTTGTTGTTCCTTTCTCTCTTACTTAACTTTTATTTTCACTTTTTTTCTTTTGTTGTCATATCGATTGTTTTGGTACTGACATCTTCATGTCGAAGATAATAAAGTCCATGAGCGGGAGTCGGAAGTGGGGGGGAACTGGGGGTTTCGCGCAAATTTTCAGTCAAATCCCCCTAAAACAGTAAAAAGCTAAGGAATACAAATTTTATATCATCAAGGGGGTGGGAAAAACCTCACTTCCGGTTGACCCCGCTCTTTTGTAGAATAATAAACTCCTGTAGAATAATAAACTCCTGTATACGTGTTGTAAATAACTTTCTTTTATTTTGCCACGATCAATAATTCATTAGGATTATTTTGGAAAGTAAATTAAACGCCGAATCGTCTGTCTAAAACAAGAAACAACGTACGTACTACATAGCCGGCTGGGTACCATTTCCGTTTTTTATTTCCTCCCCCCCCCCCTATAGAGGGCGATCCTATCTAATATTTCTTGTCCGCACTACTGAAGATTGCTTGCGTCTCACAAAAAAAGACAGAGGCTGCCTTTTATTGCTTATTGGGAGAGGGGGGACAAAAAAAAAGGAATTTCCAATTTTATTTTCAGCCCCACCACCTGTAACAGAATCCTCCTGGTTTGAGTTTGATCACGTGACCAACTATTTCGATATGGTCAGCGGAACACAAAACCACGTGACACCGCATCGGCAATCAAGATGGCGGCGAACGGGGTCTTCCTCCGTGTTGCTGTTTTTAGACCAACATCATGGTAAGAAACTGGCTTCTATTCATCAGAAAACTCAAACTTGGTGAAGATTGATATCCATGTGTCGTCCATGACTCGTTTTTTTCTTTTTTTTGTAGTCCGACAGTGAGGAACATGGCTACGTTGAAAGATAGTAAGTCGATATTTGTCCTTGTACGTACTCAGGTAGCTTTTTTAGCCAGACTGTTCTAAGCATATGACATAGTAATGAGAGTCACAGGTGTAGTTTTTAAATGTAACCACATACTATGTTTGCAAATTAAGTGAAATTTTGTAGCCTAGCCAGTACACTTTTATAACTTAATGCGGGGAATTAGGTCTAAATTTAATACATGGCGAAATACTGCACACTAGCAAATACTTTTATGGTTGTTTCTCTCCTCTAGGCGACCCTCTAGGCCAAATAAGCCGTGTTTTTGCAGATTTTACGTTTCTAAATTCAAAAATTTTAAATTGCAAGGACTTTGATGGTTCCATTCCTACAAGATATGAGGCCTCTCTAAAATCTGTTTGTAATAATAATATTTATTAGTTTCTTTTTCGGTTGTTTAGAAATTTAGTTATTTATTTATGTTTGTTTTTGTACATGTGCACCTTTTGTTTTGCAAATGGGGATGTAGAATATGCATGCATAATTGTATATTGATCATGTGATTTCTATCCTGTATAAAATTCTTGACCATATACTTTTCAGCGGCATTGGGTTCACAGTTCAGGTCATTAGACAAGTTTATGATTTACGTGTAATTTGCATGTGGGCTTTAGACTTAGGAGATCGTGTATGCTGATTAAACAGTTTTATTTTTTCAGTCTCTTTGCGATTAAGGAGTGTCAAGAATATTCAAAAGATTACTAAGTCTATGAAGATGGTGTCAGCAGCCAAGTTTGGAAGAGCAGAGAGAGAACTTCGACCTGCAAGAGTCTATGGAGCTGGTGCATCAGGTGTGTGACCTGTCTAGCATCAACCCTTTCAATCCCTGGAAAAGTCAGAAGCAAATTTTTATTGTAAAAAGTGTTTTATTGGTGGTGTGCTGTTCTTGGATTATAATCCATTGTTGACGGAAAACGTTAATTGACATGATAATCAGTTATGGAAAATTTTCCAAAGATTATCCTGGAAAAATAAAAAATATTATTGACATAAGGTTAGAGTGGAACTTCAATAATTTATAACGAACCTCTATATAACAATGTCCTTGGTATAATGAACGATTTTCTTTATCTCAGTAATATATGAAAAAGAACCTCGATATAGTGAACAAATTTTGCCTGTCCCTTGACCCTTCGTTACATTGAGGTTTCACTGCATTAATGCTTGTACAGGGGGTGTCATCATTTTACTCGATGCCTGGTGCAGCTACATGTATAATCCATTGATGACCCTTTTCTGACACATTTTGTATATTTTTTCATGTTCGAAAACACAGCGTTATGGCCATGCTCAAAATCTATCTATCGGGAGAAGGGTATTGCTGTCGCAGGCAGAGGTTTACCTTACCAAAGTGATAAAAACACAAACTGAATTAGTCAAATCACCTACATTGAAGCAAATTTTAGGAAGAAGGTGTGGGGTGGATTGTTTATTTCTCTGGAAAATTTGTAGCTATGCCCCTGCTTAAATTTAACGGTTGACTCCATTGACAAAATGTAATATCACGTAGAAGTAATTCACAGAATGAAATTGTGACTTTTTAAAAATATTTAAAAGTATCAGTATCCAGTATCACTTGTCTTTAAACTTCATAGCCCATTATAAACTGCTTTGCCTTCTTTTGAGCTAATCTGTAAGTTTTATTTTCCAGCTTTGTATGAGAAGGTAGAAATAACCCCAAGTGAAGCAGACAAAACCAAGCCTAACAACTTGATTGTAGTTATGTCATCTGATCGGGGACTTTGTGGTGGTATCCATTCTAATTTGGTGAAAGCTGTCAAGGCTACCTTGGCTGAAAAGGGAGCTGACAATGTGAAAATTGTTTCCTGCGGAGACAAAGCCAGACAACTGTTCCTCAGAACCCATGGTAAGAAAAGAAAGCCACCAATGACATTGTCATCCCTGCTTTTTCTGTTCACTAAAGGGTGAAATCTGCAGGGGGCACAAAAAGTCGCATAGGGCTTGCAAAAAGTTGCATCCGGCAGTCTGACACAAAGAGATTTTCTGACTGGGCGATAAAATTTGCTTGCCCAATGGCCAAGGTTCCAGGCCATTCATGTTGTGACTTGCATTGTGACTAACATAGTGACTTGCGTTACATGTTTGTAACTTACCTTCCAGTGTTGACAGTTTTATCTGGGATTAATTTTTGAACTTTGAGCAATTATTGGACATTTGATATAGTTTAAAAAAGAATGCATGTTTTTGTAATCATAAAGGAACCAAGTTCAGGGTATGAGTGAGCGAGATTAAACTGTTCCAATTCAACCAATAATTATTGGGAGTTCTTTTGTCGGTGTTACCAATTCCCAACAGTCATCCTCCTACAAAATCATTAACAGAGACAAGCAAGAAATGGCCTTGGGCAAGCAAAAATTAATGGGATAGGTTCTTGCCCAAAGGGCAAGCCGGAATTCACGATTTTTTCTGAGCCAAGAACTTGTCGGAGTTTAAATTCACAGAATAATAGTAATTGCTGTGATTTCCAGAATCATACCTAAGGTGGTGCTCTAAGGAAAATTGAAGGGAGCCCAGTGCTAGCTTTGAACATGTAAAATCTAGGGTGCCAAGCATATGATTTGTATGAAAAAAACTAAGATTTTCTAGTCATCCAAATCAAAAGTTAAGACCAGGAGTCGCTGGGGCTTTGTTAGAGCACAGCCTTGATACCCACTCTTAATTATTAAGGCAGTGGCTATTGCTTCTGGTAATACTGAAGTGCAAGTTAGAGAAGGCTCTGTAACAGGCTGTAAGTACATAAATGATGTGTTGACCATGAAATGAATTTTTTGCCAGTCAGAGCCTTGTCACATTGATCTACCATACTCCTGGGCTCAGCCCAGTCAAAATGTTTGCAGTAATGAGCAGGAGAACCAGAGTGACATACAGCAAAGGCCAAAACATGTGTGGTCACATCTAATATTATTTAACTTACTGTTGAGTTGGTGGCAAATAGTCCAGTCATTCTAAATGATGCTACTATGATGCACAAATGTATTAACAAGCTTGTTCCAGACTATCTTGCTGATATGTTTAAATCACGTTCTCAAGTCCATAATAGACAAACTCGATCATCTGGTGCTTTGGATATACCTTTATGTCGCCTGTCAACAGGGCAGCGCTCCTTTGCTTTCAGAGGAGCCAAACTCTGGAACTCCTTGAATGATAACATTAAGTCCTTAAAATGCCCCAGGAATTTTAGACGTCATCTTGCAAATGTTTTATTAAGTTGATATATTATATTATTGATATATATTTTGTAATTATAATATTATTGTATTCACATTCTCAATTAATTTATATATTTGTATTTTTTTATTCTATTGAGCTGAAAAACCCACTTAGGGAGCATCAATAAAGTGTATGTATGTATGTATGTATGTGGAATCAGCAAAATAGTCAAATGCCAGCTCATTTTGACTGGGCTGCAGGCTGTATTTGTTATCAAAATGAAACAAACTCATTTTAGTGCAGCTGAATAACTAACTTTTTCTCAAGTCTGTTGCCAAAATGAGCATCTTTTTGTATCGTTTTCTTAATTTTTTTCAGCTGACAACCTACTGATGAGTTTTTCTGAGATTGGCAAGAGGCCACCTCTGTTTTGTGAAGCCACGTTCATAGCACAGGAAATCATTGACAGTGGATTTCAGTTTGATTTGGGCGAAATGTACTACAACTGGTTCAAGTAAGCGCTGTAATAATTTTCAGTTCCTTTCCAATGACAGGATGGTCAGAGTGCCAAGTGAATACCGGTATATATAAATACTGAAAAAATTTAAAAAGTTGAGATGAAAGACGACTGTTTTATATCCGATCCACACCAACTTATTTGCTGATAAACACTTAACACTCTCTTCTGTTTTCTGTCAATGATTTTGGCAATTTATTTATTGATACATCTGGCTGAGCAAAAAAAAAATTGTTGGTTCAAGTAGGCTATTGGAGAGGTCTCCCAATCATGTAAAATTAAGTAGAAATTTACTGTTGATTCCACCACCTGGTAGGGTGAGCTCTTAGGGGCTGTCATCATTTGAACAAACTGCCTCACAGTGTATTTTCTCCAGACTTGTAATGCATTCTGTCAAATTAATCCTCCTATAGGGAACCTTTTGACTTTTCTAAGACTGCAAATGAAACCATATTTGTTTGGGTGTGGTTGTAGAAAGGACCAATATTACTTCGCATTTGCATTGACATGAATGTCTCATCTTTTAGGTCAGTGGTATCGTACAGAACCCAGACAAAGCCTCTTGTCTCATTTGATTCTCTAAATGCAGCTTCAGGAGGTTAGTTCATTGTGCCTGGCTGTGGAGACGAGAAAGCAAGCATACAGTATTTCCTACCATCAAAAACCTTAAAGGGCCTGTGTCACGGCTTGCTAGTCATTTTATTTGTATTACCAGTTACATTTTCTTACTTGCTGTGGAATTTTGAGATCACTTGTTAATAACAAAATCACAACTTCATGTCTAACAAATAATGCTCAAAAATTATATCAGACATTACAAGCAACAAAGGTGAACTTTGAAAAAACTGTTAGGGTAACAAGTTTTCAAAATCCTCAGTGCAATCCGTTACAGATTTTTTCAATTTTTTTTTTCCTTCAAGTTCATTCGTCCAAGTTCCCTTTGTGTTGTCTGTGTTGCTTATATTTTCTTTTAATGTTTAGAGCTGTTGGTGGCAATAGTCCAGTTTGGAATTAAAAATTACCGCTGAATACAAACATTAAATTTTGGAAAAAGTCTGGGATAAGTCTTGAATGCTGGATCCAAAAATCTGTATCAACCCTGAAGTTATGAATGTGTGTTTTTTTCAGAGGTGCTCAGTTCATATGATGACCTGGATTCTGATGTAATTAAGAACTACTCAGAGTTTTCTTTGGCCAGTCTTCTGTATTATGGCATGAAGGAAGGGGCTTGCAGTGAACAGAGTTCCCGTATGACAGCTATGGACAGTGCTAGTAAAAATGCTGGTAAGTAAATGCAACTTCTCAGGCAGCAGAATTTTTGTGGGGGGGGGCACAGTGATGTAGTGCTTTACACTTGACTAAACAAAGGCGTTAGTCCTGCATGCTGGGCTGTCATTTCCTTTCAGTCATTTTATTTCATTTACTGTAAATCCTCTTTTAAGCCCCCTCTCTATAAAGGCCCACCTTTTCAGAAAAAAGGAAGTTAATAAGCCATCCTCTCGTTTAAGCCCCCTCTCCTCTCCCTTATCATTTTTCACTAATAAAGAAAATTATAGACTGTATAAACAACTGTAAAACTTCATTTGGACTGATCTAGGATGGTTTATTGATGTGTTGGAAGTTTGGATTTGTTTTTTATCCTCAGTTGCATGGCCTCCAACTTCTTGAGCTTCTTTGTACCTCCTCCTTGTGTTTAGCTGGCAACGTGACGTCTTAGTGACAGCCTTGTGCTGTGCAGGCTTGCCAAGATTGAATGCTTCACCCATTGACTCATTAGCATTAGTTCTGGCATCCAGGGCTGTCATTAAGTGTGGGGGGCCAGGGGCCGGGGGACCCCCCCCGGCTACTATGAACTTGCCCCCCCACCCCCAACCCAAATTTCAGAGGAAAATAGAAGGAAAAAAGAACCAAAAAAAATCCCTAGCTGTTTGATTCCTCACCTACTTGTTGTATTTACCTGGCAACTTGAAATCTTAGTGACAGCCCTGTCAGGCACTAGTGAAGCTCATCTTTTGTAGTGGGCCTCATTATGATTCGCTCATGTTTATCAACTGTGGCTATGTTTACAGGTGAAATGATTGACAAGTTGACCCTCACATATAACCGAACTCGTCAAGCTGTCATTACAAAGGAGTTGATTGAGATTATTTCAGGAGCTGCTGCTCTGGACTAGACAGTTTGAACTTTTTATTGTAAACTTTAGTTGATCAATTGGTGTTTGTAACATTTGAAAGGAAATAAACTGCTCCTTCAGGAAGCTAATGAGTTCTCTCTCTCCCCTGCATAGTTTTCCTCTGGGTTTTCAGAAAATGAAACAGAAGAAATTGAATAAGAGGAATGTGGGAAGAGGGAAAAGTCTCTTTTCATCATCTCCCGCGCGTGTTTTCTTTGTTTGCGTCGTGGGTTGTCATAAGTTAGGAGTTGTGAAAATTTACCCCTAACATGGATTCACTCCGAATACAAACATGAGCTTCTGGGTCTCTATATGGTGGCCAGTTTACTTTGTTTCACTCCCCCACCGACCACACCAGTTTCTTTTAGTCTATGTGACCAGCGCATATGATATAAGGGGCGTGAGATAAGAGATGCACCCGAGAGAGGTGGAAACGCGAAAAGAGGTACAATAGCTTCCTTCTCTCACGCGCGCCCTATTTTCTCGATCTCGCAATCAGTGCCATCGCCGCTCATATTCGCTTTCTACGCAGGGTAAGTCTTCTTTAAACATTAGCACCTTTATTCCTAACATATAACGTCTGGTTCCGTATGATCTTTGTGTTCGTCCTGATGGCAAAAGAGGAGAATTTTCTCACTGCAAGTGTGGCTTATTATCGAGAAGGCCTGATTCCAGGCCATAACGGTCGCGACTGTCTGGAACTGGTCTGGTAAAACATTGTCCCCAGGGGCTCTCTTCCTCGTTCTTGACTTTTCTTCGCGTCACTTTTTTTGCCCGTTTAGCAACATCGTCCCCAGGGCTGTTGCCCGTTTAGGCTTTCCCTCGCTCCCACATTCTGCCCCTGGGTCTCCGAGGATGCAATGGAACCAAACCCGAAAACAACAGAGTTGCAACCCATAGGGGTCCAGTCAAAATTAGAGGTTCGGAAGATCTGCATGGCTACTGTCTCCCACTTCCGCTTCCGTCTACGGTGGATCTCAGTTCATTTTTCTCCCAAGTTTCATGTCTTTCGCTGAAAATTCAGCCCAGGCGATTTGAGATAGATACAAGCGAAGTTAATGATCAGTAAAAAGGGAAGCCCGAGGTATCGGTGGTGGGTTTGGGGGCCCCAATTTTTGCGGGTTCTAGTTTTTGGAATTTTGCTGATTTTTTAATGATCCGCTACTCTGAAAACAGTTTTGGCATAGAATTCCCTGCTACCAGAGGTGTCTCACGGCGAAAACTTTCGCAAAACGTTTATCCACAAGCTTCGCTCTGCGTTCGAGAAAACATCATTATAAAAATAAAGTTTGTGGATGATAAAAAGAGGTTTTTAATACAGAAACAGGCTCCAGACAGAAAACAACATCAACGAAAAATCCAACGTCTCTAAAAGTGAAGAAAAAAGGATGGGAAACCTGTGGTATTCGTACCTAGACCCCTCGCAATCTGCGCATGAGAGAAATTTTCAAAATGGCTGTCTCGTTGGTGGATGGATTGAAGATATAATTATTTATGTTAGGTTTTCCTCAAATTATGAAATGTACAGATCATTATATGATTACACAGGGAAAGATAAAGGAGTTCTTCCTCTCCGTGTAGGAGAAAAGTTTCGTTTTATCGAGCAACATGATGCTAACTGGTGGAAAATGCGATCTCAAAACGGGTCCGTTGGACTTGTGCCTGCTTGTTACTTGGAAGCTGTTGACAGGGTATCGGTAAGACGAACTCCTTTCTGATATCTTGCTTGTGTCATTGTGAAGTGACTTGTTTGTTGACAATTATTTACTATTCAGTTTTTCCGGCATTTTTACTTATTTGGTTATGTCGTGGAGAATTTAAATTTAGTTACGTCACTGTTTGCGTTTCTTAAGACTTGCCTTGCAATTTATTTCACTGCTTTATACATGCAGCGATTTCATACTAGTTCCGAAATAGTTTGTATGAATGGAGCCGACGCGAAGCATGCATGGATAATCCGATATTGGGGCTGTACAGAAATCTTACCAAATTAATTTATAAAATAACTAAGATAGTATGCGTGCTCTGATTGGCTCCGAGAAGCATTTTTCAGGACCTGAACAATCGATGCAATCAATAATCAATGGCAATCGATAACAATCGATGACAATCGATATCAATTAATCGAATCATATTGATAATCAATGGACAATCGATCACGAAAATGTTTGTGATTATTGATTATCATTATCAATATCAATCGATAATCGATGGGAATCGATCAATTAACATAATAGATTGTTATCAATATGCAATATCAATTGATTACCTATTGAGTCAAACACTTCAATGGTCAATTTCGGAGTACTAATAAAGCTGCACATTTTGATATCATTGCTTTTTATTTGGGAATTCCGCACGGAAGATCGAGGTGGATGTGGGCGTCTGCACAGACATATAAAGAAAGAAGAAGAAAAAGAAATAACAATAAGCTTAATCATGTTTGAACAACGACTGCATCCCAGGTCAGTTGAATCTTTGCAATGAACTCGAAGCTAAATCGATCAAGTTTGTACTACTGACAACAAGATATGTTAATTGTCTTTGTGCTATTTTTCATGGAGCCATATTGATGAACAATTCTCAAACTTTGCTACTGAGGTTTAAAAATAATATACATTCTGCATACATTCCCTCAATACCTGAAAATACGGAGACATGAATTTTGTGCCAATCGATGGCAATCAATGAAGTTTGCGACCACCTAAGTGTGATTATCAATTGATCATCGATTGGTCGATGCCAATCGATGCTAATCAACAATAACTAATCGATTTTCATCGATTGATCGATTGATTTTCCGATCTTCGATTTTCAGCGATTGTTCAGGTCCTGATTTTTGCATGAGAGTATGTAAACACAGTAGTGATCAGATGTCAAGATGTTTTGCTGTTTGCCGTGTAGGAACCTGCTTATTTACTGGGGGTTTGGGAATAAAAATTAATGGAATGTCCCTACCTAATCAACTTACAAGTAAGTGAGTCCTGAGCCTGCAAACTTTTGTGGAGTGTTGGACAAAAAAGCTAGATCGTGGGAAGATAGGGAAGAGAATTTGCATTCTTCACTGCCGTCCTTTGGGAGGCTTCCCACAGGCAAGTTCCTGTTTGAATAAGAGAAACATTAATTAAAAACCCGTGTACCAGAACTTAGTTAATGGGGAAAGAAATTATGCTACAGGGTTGTCATTAAGAGCCGGGGGCCTGGGATTTTCACCGGCTAATAAGAGAGTGGCCCCTGGCTACTTTTATTGGAAAATAGAACAAAACTGGAACCAAAAGAAATCCCTAGCCGTTTGATTCCCTGCCTACTTGTTGTATTTACCTGGCAACTTGAAATCTCAGTGACAACCCTGATGCTATGTGTGTATGTAGACTCATTTCGTTTTGTTTTTTTTTTTTCAAATTTGGTTTTTCGTAAACCTTATAGGCTAACCCAAGTGAACAAAAATCAGTTCTTGAGTCTATTGATCGAGCCATTGAAGTTATTCACTCACAAGCCACTCATGCAGGTGGTGCGTACACACATGAACAAAGAGCAAATTTGAGGTTTGTAATGAAGTAGTTCTTTTTTATCAATGTATATTATAGATGATGAGTATCTTGGCTTTGGGATTTTTTCAAGTGGTCCATCAGTTTGTATATCATGCCCCACTTTAACCATCTTAATACAAGTATTAAAAAGTAAAGAAAAAATAATAGGTGTGAAATGTACTGTTATAAAGTAACTGTTCATTCATGTAACAAGAAAAGCATGCAAAGAAAGTAGTTGGTTTCCAATAGCCTGAGGCTAGTTTATTAATTTTGTGATTGGGCTGATGAATTCTCTCTTAACTTGCCCAATGGGCAAGTGAAGTTTCTTTGGGGAATTCAAATTATAGAAGTACTGTACGACAAATAAAAATTTGTTTAAATTCCTAATAAATTCATGTGGATTGGAAGCTGTTTCTTAAGCTGATCTAACAAAGTGAAAATATTGCAATGATTACCTATTACAATGAATTAATGAAGCAAATAATTAGCAATTAGCAATTAGCAATTAATAAATGCAATTAATTTATTCATATTATAAATCCTGCTCATCAAATTTTTCTTCCAGCTAGTCATAATGACTGATCTCTGGCTAGCACAGAGGCTAGCTAAAATTGACTGCTAAAACCGCTGTAAAACTGACTTTCTTTTATAAACCTTGAAGAGTGCACTAATGAAGTGCGGAGTTAGACTGCATTACAAAAGCCCAGATGAGCATTTGTATCTGAAATCCGTTATAATTCTTATGTAATGCAGGAGATTACTAGAACACAGAACACGTCTTCTCTCGGGGAAAGAATCAAGGGCTTCAGATGCTCATCATAGTGGAATGAAAAGTAGCAAGCCTGTTGTTACAGAGTATGACCCTCCTGCTCAGCCTCGCCGCCCTGCACCCACCCTACCACCACAGAAAGATAAGAAAGACAAAACCAAGGAATCCACAAAGAGAAGACCGGCTCCTTCAGTTCCTGTTTCTAATGCAAACCAAACTGCTACAGAAACTCAAGGTTTGTTTACTAGATAGAAATTAAAGCAGACTCTAATCTTTTCCCTTTTTTCTTCTGCTACTTCTAATAGTAATTTGTAAATGGTTTAGTCAAGCTACTCACAGTTAAGAATTGGATTTCTGGCTGATATGCATGAACTTTGAAATTTGAATATTAATAATTGCTGAAATTACCTCATATTAGGAAACATCTAAGGCTGATATTTTATACAAGGGTGTTTTGCCCTATTAAATTTTAGAGGTAACGAGGAGTTGACCTATTGTTGGCAAACAACAGCCAACATTGTTGGATGTTAGTAACATGCTGCATCTGTTTGCACACCCTGTTGCATGTTGTTGCAACATTGTTGAGCCAACAACAGCCAACATTGTTGGATGTTAGTAACATGCTGCATCCGTTTGCACACCCTGTTGCATGTTGTTGCAACATTGTTGGGCCAACAATGTTGAGAGTTGTTGTGTCCATTTGCACGTAGCTTAATGACCCTCCCCTCCCCCTCTCGTGTCTGTATAGAACTGACTTGTCCCCAGTCATCTATTATTGTTTGTAGGCGGTTATAGATCAGTCGCACAAGACTAGCTTGGCACCTTAGCGTAGTAGGAGAGAGGGGAAAGGAGACCCAAGGTAGCCTATTTTTCCTCCTCACTACTAAGCGACATAGTTGTTAAAGAGAGACGAAATTGACTCCTGTTTTTTTTTTTTGAGAAGTTCATTTATTTCTTACACTTGAGTCTGCAGACAAATCTGTAAATGTATCGTTTATATCAACATCATGCTGATCAATATTGTATGAGTACTTATATTCATGGACTTTCTTAGAAAGCCAGTCTAGTGGTGAAGATCAATCTACTTCTTCTGTGCCTCCTGTTCCTCAAAGAAATGACCTGGCACCTGTTAAGGTACGCGCCGGACTTGCTGCCGAGCTGCTAGAATTGCTCAGAATCAAGTGAGTATGTAATAGAAGTCGTTAGCACTATGACAATATTACTTTAAACTTAGGTGAAATACTTCTTTAAAAACTGCATTTTTCTCCAACAGTCTTCAATCAGTGTGACCTTCAATAAGAAATTACATTGAACATAAGTTTACAAATGAGCTGGTTTTTTTCCCTTTTTTTTGTATTCGTAGACAGAAACTTAGTGCTAGTCCTAGTGATGTCCAAGGGAGCTGACTGACAACATTACAATGAATTCATGTCTTAGGAATGTTTTATGATTATTGCATGTACAAATGAAGTGTTGTAACATCTAAATTTTCCTTTAATGTTAGTCTTTACACCAGGCCATTAAGTAAGACTTAAGAGCTGCTTAGTTTTACTTAACCAAAGATACGTGTGTTATTTTACATTGCATCTCATTAATGTCACAAAGTTGAAACGATTCAAGAAAAGTTTCAAGTGACTTGAAAACCATTCTTAAAACTGACTTTGCCATCTTGTGGTTTCTTGAGCTTTGAGAAAGACAAAGCATGTCAGTCAATCTTAATTATATTGTGTGAGAAAATAGCCCTTAAGATAACCTGAAGTAAAAAAGAATCTCTTATGTGTGCAGCTTTATTTTACTTGAAGTATTTAAAATTTATTTTTCTTGAAATATTTCTTCTCTTATTTATGCTCGATTGTAAAGACTACCAATAAAAAGTGACTAAAAGTAACAAGGAGTTCTTTAAATACAGTACAGGTCTGAGTTATGACAAGTCTCATGTTGCTGTAGAAACAGTGGTAACACATCTTCAAATTTCCATACCATCAATATCAGATGCTATGACACAGATTTTACAAGATCTCGCGCAGCAGAAGGTCAGTGGAGCTTACAGATACATAATTAGGGAGCTTAAGCAATGGCGATGGTGATGTCAACGAGAAGGGCTAAAAAGCAATAGGTTTAGATTGGCAAAACAACAACTTTGCACGTGGATCACGTACATTTCTCTGCCATCACTGCATGACTACGACACATGGAGCTTTTTAATTTTCATGTTTTGTGGGACATAAACACAAGTCCACGGAATGAACATTTTGTGCTAGAAATTATTCAGCACGAACCAGCTATAGAGTCTTAAATAATTAAAATTTCCATTGAAATTACTTTTATCTCTAGGAATCACGCAGTGAAGATGAGGATGCGTTGCTTCAAACCCATGATGGACAGCAACTCATTGGAATTCTTGATGAGTTAACTGAACACAAGGAAGATTCACAGCAAAGAACCTGGGCTGTTCATGAAGATGAGGGAATTCTTCACAAGCTGCTTAAAAATTTGCTAAGCATACTGGTCAGTATTTTAACAGAGTAAAAAAAGGAACTCAAGGCCCTGCATGAGGCTACATTACATAATGTTTGTAAAAATATTAAAATTTTGCTTTGTCTTGCCCAACATTAAAATGGCATTACCCTACAGGTTCAAATCTGTGCCTTACTTTATAACATGTTTCACTTGTGGGTTGAGTTTGTTGTCAGTTCTCTTCTCTGCTCCGAGAGGTTTTTCTCCGGGTACTCCGGTTTTCCCCTCTCCGCAAAAAAAAAAAAAAAACCAACATTTCTAAATAATTATCCGGAACATGTTTAATACATTTGGGAGATTGGGACATGCATGGCTTAAATAAAATTAATTTAATTTTGATTTTTAATTTTTTTTATTTTTTATTTATTTTTAAATTAATTTAATTTTTTGACCATGGTTTGTTTTTATATTTGATCTTGGCTTTTGCTCTATTCTAACATAGTGATTATTAACACTGGCAAATTACTGAATAGTATTTGAAACATTTTATCTACGAAGACATTGTGTGTGAGAGAATGTGACTCATGGAATAACGATTCAGCCTTTGCTCAGATATTTTCAGTGACTCTAAAGAGATGTAATTAAAATAAATGAAATACAAGCAGCAGTTGTGAACACCATTTAAATCTTTGAATCGTTAGTACCTCCTTTAAATTGAAACCTTTCCCTTTAGCTTCAATGATTGTATTGAAAAAATGTAATAAATTATCCCTTTCAAGGAAGGGCCATGTCAGAAACAGTTCTGCACAACACAAGCAGGTTTCGTGGGATTCTAGATCATGAGTGATTGACCATGTCTATTTCTTTTGTTATTCTAGCTGGATGCCGACCCCACTGTCTGTAGAGCTGTACTAAGACAAGATGACTATGAATACATCAATATGCTTGTTGTCTACTTTCAAATGGTTAGTTCTTTTAGTTAGGCACCTTCTTGCCTAAATTGAAAAATATAACAAAAATTATATAACTTGTTCAGATAAATAATGTAATTTTGGTTTGGATGCCCTACAGTATTGGTAGTGATAATAATAGTGATAAAGATAATGACTTTTTTATGATGATTTTGCTGTTAATGAACCCTGCTAGTTTGTGTGAATGGTCTAAATGACTGAAAGTATAGATTTATTTCTGTTAAAAAACATGGATTCCATCAACACCATCAGGAGTGTGTTTTTTATTCTGCAGGCACGCTCATAGCCTGATTCTCAGATACCCAAGGTGGTCACTGTCGTGCTATAAAGAGCTCCTTCAAACTTGGCGGCCCCTTGACATAGTTTTTGGGTTTTTAGTCCATAGTGCCTCATTTTTTTTTTTTTTGCTGGGCATTTAGTAGGCTTCATTTTGGTGGGAAGAGTTTTTAGAAAGCTTTTAGGATCTTAGGATTAGGTGAAAGGAAAGGTGTGGGTAATGGAAAAGATTTTGTGAGATTTTCAGGTCCTTTTGGGCTTCTTTCTCCGGTGGCTTAATTCTGGTATGGTTTATATTACATGTTTTCTGATTCACAAAAAAATATTAACTGGAGGTTCTTTTTACAGGTGTCCTTTGGTTTAAGTACAGGTCATTACTATGTTACAGATTTAAGTAGACATGACCGAAGTGTATCCTAACCCTAAACAGTATAATCCAAAATGTAATGGTAGATTGAAGGGAAACAGTTTGGCTTTATTAGTTACTTATTGATAAAACATGGTAAGACTGAAACTTCCTTTCACTTTTATGCCTAGCTTTATCTGTTGAAGTAGAATTCTGACTATTAATCTATTGCTTTATATTTATGTTTCCAGGAACAAAGGCAGTCACTGCGTGAACAGTTGATTGAAATATTTGGCAGCATGTGTGGTTTGGAGAAAGAAATGTTATCACAACTGTTGTGTTCTGTCTTACCTGCAGAGCTAGCAATAGAGGCTATGAACAAAAAGGAGGGTAAGTAAACAAATGACTGTAACCTGGGAAAGGTTCCAGCGATAAGGAGTGACAAGAGATGGCTGTATTTGAAGCTAAGGACCATTACCAAGCTTTTAACAGGACAAGGCAAAAATAACGTGTCAGCCCCAAAGGCTAGAACCTTTTGTTTATTATATTAGTGGATGGTGGGTCGAGCATTTTACATTAACCCTTCAAAACATTATTAGTGAGCTTATGCGACAGGATGGCAGAAACTAGGGGATAGCAAAATGTTTGTGTGTGACAAATGTGACAAGGCTATTAGTTGCATAATTGTTATGATTTTTTTTCTAACATTACAACTAGTTTTGGTGTGAAGTTCAGTTTAAAATGGCTAAGATTGGCAGAATATTTTTTCAAGCAAGCATTGCTGTCTTCTCTCCTCTGTCATCCTATTATAAATTATTCATTATGGCCTGACTTAAGTTGTATACAAATTAAGTGCAAACTACTCAAAAAAATTGGATATTTCACATGTAAGGTTTTTTTTGTCTTTTAAGATGCTGTGATACAGTGTCACTGTGCTCTGCTGTTGACTATGATCTTTTCCACCGGAGAATCAGTTCCATTTACCCTTTATGGTGAGTCAAAATGATTGTACAGCCTGTAACAGGGCTTGAAGTTAACTTTTACAAACTTGCAAAGGGCAAGTGGTTTTGGAAGTTGCAAGCCAAGTGTATGTATTCTCTGAAATGTTTGGAAATAAGGGTTTCTCCAATAGAAATTTGAGAAAGAAGGTAAACGTTTACGAAGATTGCTGCAGCAAAGTCTTATAGTGTCACACATTAAATAAATTTTTATCATGGACAAAGAAAGTAGTTATTTCATGGCAGCCACTGGCCACACGGCTGTCAACTCTCCCGGATAATCCAGGAGACTCAAGATTTTGAACCATTTCTCCTGGTCTCCAGTTTAGAGTCTGAAATCTCCCGGATAATCGCTGAAGTTTACCATTTCTTGTAGATTCCACTTTTGCAAAATGAAATTTCAAATATTTTGCCGTATTTGATATATTTTACTGTTAACGTTGAACTTTTCCTCACAAATTCTGGTATGCCGTTGTAATATAAGCAATCAGTGTGATTGGTGGGAAGTAAACCAATTAGGTCAAATGTTACAATTCCAACAACATCTTTTTCGCGCGTATCTTTTTACAAATGACGTCATGTGCCATGCCTTATTTTTTATTTATTTATTTTTATTTAGTTAGTTTTTTCTGACGTCATCTATCCTCCCTTCCCCATCAGTTCTCAATATTTGAAGGCGTGGGGGGTTGACAGCCCTGGGCAATCAGTTTTATGTAGTTCTAACCTATGGCAATCAGTTTTCAATGTTGTACCCAATTCGGGATAAACTTTGTGTATTGCATTTGCATTATAATGTACATTTAAATGCTGGAAATTCCTGAAACAAAACGTTTTATTCCCAAAGGGTTTGACTTGGGGAGGTATAAACACAGACTTGGAGGTAAAAAAAGAAAATTTTTTATGCAATTGTGGCCTTTTTTTAGTTCTTGTGTGAAGATGTATTTAAAAGAAACCTGCCTCCATCAAGAAGCCCTTGAAGACAATAAATTTGCTTCTTTTGCTAGTAAACTGAAAATAAGTTTGAGATCTGGATTCATACTCATGTTTCTATTCAGTCGATAACTGAGGAGTCAGCCCCTCAGTCTTCAGTCCCTTGAGGAGGAAGGATTAGCGCAGTTGGTTAGTGCGCGGGCTTCTGTGTGGGAGGTCCCGAGTTCGATTCTCCGGTGCAACCTCAAATCCTTCTTGTGACGTCTTTGCTTTTTGTGTAGCGTTAAGTGGATTTAAATACCCATAAAACGGAAAACTGAAATCCTTGGCCACACTTTAAAATGGTCAACTGGTTGCCTCCTGCCAGTTGGGGCTTTTTAAACCTGTTCCATTCTATTTTGGTTATATACTAATAAATTATTTCAAATTGTTTGATTGGAGGGCCTGTAAACTAGCTGGATATTTTAAGCGTAGTGCACTTTCCACTATAAACTGAACAAAGCTTTAACCTTTATTTAAAGCTTTTGAAACTTTCTTTAAATCTTTTCACAGACCAGATAGATGATTCATTTGTCGATTTCCTTATCGATGCCATTGAAAATGCAGCAGATGATGAAGAAGGCGAACAGTTAGTAGACACCTTTGTTCCTCTTATCCTGGCTTTTAACCAACACTTTGTAGGTATGAACAATATGAAATTTATCATCATTTTGGCAATGTAATATGTTCCTTGTAGTTATAAAATGAAGTAATGCTTTACCTTGCCCATTAATGTCTGTAGCATTTTGTGACTTTGGGAAGCTAGCATTTACCCTCTCAACATACTAACTTACTAAAAGCACTCTTTCCAGCGATGTCACTTGTTTTTCGGTAATTGGTCCATGTCAAAATTTAAAAACATGAAACAGTCACTGCTATTGTTAGTTGACTACTAGTAATCTCTCATATTTTCTTCAGGGATGACAAATTTCATCGCATTTGATCCCATACTGACCATGTTAAAAGGTTTTAATATTTAAAAAAATTCCGGTCTCTAATAAAATTTTTATTGATAGTTAACAGTTGATTAGCTTATTATCCTCAAAACTAACAAGATCAGTCTTCCTAAGGTTATTGTCCTTAATAAATTATTTTTTTTCGTTGTTATTTTTTGACAGATGTCGATAGCAATATTGTGATAAGGGTGTTAGCGTCCCGCAAAACGGCCAAAACTTTGAGTGAAAAAATTATGTTGCTGATTAATAGAGAAGGTTGGTACATGATAAAACAAAGTACATTATCCTCTCAAAACCATGAATAATTCCAACAGTCACTGACAAAAAAGATTTATATTTAAATTCATGTGAATTAATTGTGTCAGTGTGGCCAAGCAGTTAAAGCGCTGGAATAAAATCTACATCTACATTTATTAAGTTGATAAAATCTTGTAAGACATCACATCAACATAATAATAGTAATCTGGAGGCATTAAGTTCAAATGCTGCCCTCACCACTACCTTGATTTGTTCTCGGTAGTCCCAAGTTCAACCCCGATCTTAGGTTGCGCTTGTCAGAGGCGTAGCTACTTGTACACATGGTATGCACTTTTGTACCTAAAAAAGTTGACAGGAAAAATCAAATGATATAATAAAAAAAGTGAGTAATCAAATGAAATTCATAAAAGATAATGATTAAAAAAAAAACAGTTTCACAGAATGCTTTTTCCACACTCGAATGTCGGTTTCCAGAGAGGTGACGAGATTCATTGGTTGAATAATCTTAAATCATATGTATGATACCTTGAAATGATTTGGGGTTTTGAGGTGGGCGGGGGAGGATGGGCAAAATTGTGTGCGTACCTTTGGAAAAATCTTGGCTATGCTCGTGCTGGTAAATATAGCCATTCAAATGGTTTGCCTCTGGCCAGTTGGGATTCTTAACCTTGTGGGCCACAATGAAAAATACTGGCTAACCAGTAATTATTATTGTGTTACCCTATAAAGTCACCTTTTTTACATTTTATTTTATTTTTATTTTTTACCATAACCCATTCACCCCTAAACCGCACTGTGCAGATCCATGTCCCTTGTACTGCTTGCAAGCTAAAGGTCATCAGTTTAAAATTCGTGGACAACCTTTTTATCACTGTTGGTGGTCAAGTGCTTGCCCTCCACTGTGTCATTCTGTTCAGTTTACGTCATCACTTTCGTCACATTTGCTGAAACCTCATTGTTGTTTTTACAGAGGACCCCACAAACCTGTTTTCATATCCCAGAGCATGCCCTGACTCTGTGCTGAAGTTTCTAACCGATATCTTTTCTTCACGGGACACTGCTGATTTTTTCTACACCTCTGATATGATGATTCTCCTAGAGATTGTCTTGAGACAACTAACCGATCTTTCTCCAGGGGCAGGGGTAAGTAAAACAATAACAACATCGACTCATTGTAATTTGAAGCATTAATTTGCAGATCCTTGTAAAGATTCTAGGAAACTGCCAACCTACCCCTACCATAACCAAATGTTAACACTAACTTCTCGATTAGGGTAAAATGTTGCATTAGGGGAGGGGTAGGTGGCAGTTTCCCAGAATCATACTTATCCAGCTTTGCAAACAATCATGCCAGGCTGTGAGTAAAGTTCTCTGTTTAATGTCTTGGAGTTCTTAGACACAAGAGACGAAAGGACTGATACACCTTAAAATACTATTTAGACTGCTCAATACCTTCACTTTGAAGCATTAACACCTGTCCAACTATAAATTAAACGAATTTTTTATAAGAAAACTGAATTTGCCAGTGACATCACATGTTTATTTCAAAATAGAGTGATGGTTCTGCTAAAAATTATGCTAATTTAAGACAAATCTCTATTGAGGGGCCAACCCTTATCAAGCAGCCACTTGCCAATCCCTAGTGTGGCCGCTAAATAGAAATTCAGCTGGTTTTTGTTTGTCTTTGCCTGAATGAGCTTCTGTTGGAGGGCAGAAATACTTTTTCAGATCATCATTATCCCTGTCATCTCCATCGCATCATCATCAGCTTCAGAATCAACATGTTATCCTTCTCTTCATAACCAACCACTTAGCCTGAATTTAATCCGATTACTTCAAGTCGCTATTACTGCCTCAGTTTCCCTGAATTTATTACTCCCTCAGTAACTGAGGGAGTAATAACGACTTGAAGTATGTAATCGGATGAAATTCAGGCTACCAACCACTGTCATTGTTTTCATCATTATCAGCTAAAATCTGAAATACTTTTATTAAGATGTCTCATGAATTTAAGTGATTTTATTGTCATAATGTATGCATTTTTTTTCTCTTTCTGTAGATGAGAACTGAATATATATCATTGCTCCACCAAATCCTGCTTAATTCTAATTACAGTGAACACAAACATCAAGCTAAGGAATTGATGATTTGTCTCACAAGAATTAGCGAAGAAGAAGACAAGGAGAGTGAACAAGACAAACTCATCGTACAAGAAATACTAAAAAATTCCTCAAAATATTTTTAACTGTTTCCTATTGACAGATCTTGTTTGGTGACTTCTCAATAATTTTATTGAATCCTTTAAGTGTGAGAGCTTAAGCAAAGCCATTTTTTGGGCAGTAAATGGCAACTGGACTTTTTGCATTTTTGGGCTATGATTTTGCCTAAGTTTTCAGGCAAATAATCTCTGCAAAGAGTAAAGACAAGTAGCAATACAAATTAATATGGTCGTGTCAAGGCATGTAAAAAAGGGAAAAGCAGCCTCACTTCCAGTTAGCATGCATTGCTCAAAACTCCCACAGCTTGTGTTTAAGTTTGCTATTTAATTCTAATTCTTGATTCGGTTTCAAATCTATGGATTCCTCTTCCCCCTCCCCCTTCTTCCCCTTTTTAGCTCTCGCTCCAACTTTCATGCAATACATTTGTAACTCTTACAGAAACCTGGCTATGCAGGCTAGTGATGAAGCTGCAAGGGTTTTGTGCTAGTAGAACAATCGCAAATGTACCATTCTAGAAGGGAAAGGATTAAGTAAACATAGCTGTCACTTCATAGTTGTAACCATTAATTTCAATTAAACCTATTGAATCAGTACTTTCTTAACAGCAGCTGATGAGAGTTTCCTCTTTCTATTAAAATATTTAGCAGCATGCAAGGAATTTGGAAAAAGCATGAAAATTAATGTACATTCAATATTTTGGCTGGATAAGAAATATTTCATGTTGCCAGTTTATATGAAAAGAGTTATATTTATTGTGTAATATTTTCCAGTGTTAAAATAATAACTATTTGCAGCAAAATATATTTTGAAGATTGTATTGTGTCTTTTGACAAAAGATGTGACAAGTTTGTCATTCCAGAAGCTTGCTCATACCTTTCATTGGTAGCACAAAGTTTTACTTAGAAAATAAAATTTTAATGACACTTGTAAAAGTTGTGAAACTGCTTTTGAAAACATAGCTTGTGAATCTTGGCTAGTCTGACAAGTGACCAATCAAATACCTTTCTCATATTTCTGTACTTATGTATCAGCTTACTCTATGTCTTTTTTGCACTCTTGCCAAGATTCACAAATAATTTATGTTCAAAACACATAATTCTGGAGTTTAGACACAGTCAAACAGGAAGAGCTGGCAGGATCAGGACTTCGAGAATTGACCAAGTACCATTAGAACCGTGGAGGCATGTGTGGCCGAGTGGTTAACACCTCAAACTCTGGATCTGGAGGTCCAGGGTTCAAGCCTGGCCTGTGGCGTTGTTCCCTTAGACAAGGAACTTTAGTTTGTCTCTCTTCACCCAAGTGTATAAATGGGTACCAGCGATATAGTGCTGGGGGTTAACCCTGCAATGGACTAGCATCCCGTCCAGGGAGGAGTAGCAATACTTCTAGGTATGCTTCATGCTAATGAAACAGGGATAAGCTCCACCCATTTGGACCTTTGGATCATGTGCACCTTTACCTTTTACCTCACCATTAGAAGTGTCAAGACCTGTAAGATGCAGCGATACCACACAAATGTTATTTTTTACTTCTTTTTGCAAGTGAAATACAGCAATGGATGTGATACAATACTGTTTTTAATCATCTATTCTTATCATGATTAAAAAATGGGATACTGGTAATTTATAATTTCTTTATCATGATGCAAATAAATTTGACTATACGCTTTTTATTCAAGACCTAACAGAGATCAGGTCTTTAATTCACCAGGGTCCTCTTAGCCTCCCACGCAGGGCATCTTTAGGGGAGCTCATATTTCATCCCTCCCCACAAACGCCTGCTCAACTGAGAACGACATTCCTTTCCCACACTTAGCCAATTACATTGTAACTTCCAAATTCTGCAAAGTTGACCTTGACCGCAGGGTAACCCAATAATCACTCGATCTGCATGAAACACTGCAAAAGCTTTAAACTCGGGGCGGTAAAAGTAAGACTTACTCAGTGGGATTTTAGAATACTCCGTGCACTGCAAAACCTTAGCAAAGGAGAGAAATGAAGGGAAAAGGCAACTCTAGGGTCATGTTTTTACACTATCATGAGCTTATGAGTCACGTTTAGCCTGTCAACACTTTATTTCAGGCATTTTTTTTGCCTAAATATAGTCTTAGGGCACTTTCGATTTGTCAGAACTGGCCGGCCGGACCATTGCCAGTCAGTTTGAAAATGAAATAGGCTTTTTCCAAAGGGTTTTTGTGGAAAAAAACATCTCCTTCATGCATACTATTCAGGATTTAACTGATCTGGCGGGATAGTTTTGATTACAAGTGAAGTTATCATCGCGATGGGAATGGTCTGGCCGGTCAGTTCTGACAAAAGGAGAGCCCCCTTAAATAGCAAAACTGGACCATTATTTTTTCAGAATTCAACTGGTGCAAAGACACATTCCAGCTTCTCAGAAAGACGGCAAATAGCAAGGCATGGCCACTTCTAATGACTGTCTTCCCAAGAAGTATGCCAACCAGTCTTAGCAGAGTTGACCTGGCACCAAGCTCTTTGGTGGGAAAAAAAAGGGAAAAATGGCAAGGGATGAGGGAGGGGAAAGGGCCATGCCGTCACTTCCCCACTTCCATTGTTTTTCCTCACTGTCTGCTTGCAATTTTTACCCCCTCTTCTCCAAAAAGGAAGGTCTGTTCACACTCTAACCAGAGTTAAGAACACATGAACAAACAGATTTGCTTTTCTTGCACAGGACAATAACATTATCCCAGAAATACATTTTGAGCTAAGGATTACAGACTTCTTAGTCCATCTCTTTTTGGATGCCTTTCCAGATCTCTTGATGAAAAAGTATTAGCGAATTTCATTAAACCTGAGGAGCTAAATGCAGTATTCACTAACTAAAGGCACAGTGCCATAATTTAAAAAATATATATTCTGAATTTCTGTAGATGACTGAATGTCAGTCAAACTTGAATCCTTTCCTTGTTAAATCTTCTCTTGCATCCTTTATCTCCTACAAGAAAGAAAACCAGCAAGACTGGTATAAAAAAAGCTATAAAGATGCCACTACAAAAGAGAGAACATGGAAACCAAGAGACAATAAATTCTCTTGTGGAAACTTTTTATACTTACTTATTCATAACCACACATTGTCACATTCATAATTTGCAAAACATCAAAATAGGCCTAGTTGGCAGGGGGTAAGAAGGATTACTCCCTCATAATACGTCGTACAGTGTAAGTATGTGAGCATGTATATGTACTACCCCAAGATTATGAGCTTTCTGGTCTGAACTAAACTATCAATTTTCACAGAATCATCTACTAAAATGAGAATCAAATCTGAAGCCCTTGTGGGGAGCGGGGGTGGGGGAAGGGGGGGGCATAACACCCAAAACCTACGAACATGACCCTCTTGGCATAGGAAATCTAAGATTTTTTTTCTTAACTTAGCACACCTTAATACCAAAATTTCCTTACACCTGAAATTAAAAGACTTTGTCTAGAAAAACTTTTTTCCTCCAAATAACTCTTTCATAACACACCGACCTCAAGATGGGAATAAGTATGAGTGGTGTCCCTGTTAAAAGTAGGTTGTTGGACTTGGTTGCCCTAGTTACACCACTGACTTTGAAAGCATTCTGAGGGATAGCCCTTAGCTAATAGGATGGTAAAAGTTAAAGAAAATTTCAGCTTCTCACCTGCTTCAAAGATTCAGAGGCTTCTACGCAGTCGTTAAATGTCGCTACACGGTATCCTATAGTTGCTAAAGAATAACACTGCAGAAAAAAAGAAAAACGTAGGGCTACAACTTCTAAGCTATGGACCCGACAAAGATTACACGCAAACAGCTGAAAATGAAAGAAAACAAGATAAAATTTACTTACTCCAAAGGCTATCAGGGCATATACTGGCATCTGTAAAAAATAAAACATTTCAGAGGCAAATTGTTTTAAGCTATAATAAATAGGCTCAAGTAATTCCACGATTGTTTGTGGATAGTTTTTATCCCACACGTGCAGTCAAACATTTCTAAACGTACCGGCCATATCACTTCTTTGGCTTTGTAAGATACTTTAAGAGGTAGAATATCTGCTAATAATGTAATCCAGATTGAAAACGCTAATCCAGCAAATACAATCCACTCTGTAAGTTTGGTCATTTTGAACGAATGAAGTGACGTTCGTCGTTCGAAGAGATCTGATGTTGGTTCAGGACAGCGGTATTCGTCATCGCTCTTTCTCTGTCATATAAGGCTATTTCTCCCTTCCACTCTAGGGTGTGGTGGTAAATCCCGGTCGGGGGGGGGGGCACTTTAGCAATTTCTGGGTGGGGATGTGCCACTGGGACCCTGGAACCCTTAACCTATACCAGAGCTAGTTCAGCTGAATTTTGCTACCCTATACTAGAGTAAACTCCCCAAATCCCCCTATCCTAGAGTAGCTGTCTCCCCTGTCTAGATGAAATCTTCAACCAACTGATCAGTTTCCTGAAAAATGATACCCTATTCTAGACCCAAACGCTCTGATTTACATACCCTATCCTAGAGTAAACTGCCTGAAAACCATACCCTTCACAGTGGCACATACCTGAGCCCATATATGGCAGTACCCCCCCCCCGGGTGGTAAATATCAAACTGGCAAACTCATAGAGGAGTTTATGTGAACTGGAGATAAAAAATTTCAGAGTGTTTGATTAGGGAAGGAAAGTAGCCTGCTAGCAAGTTCTCCATTTGGGGGAAACACGAGAAGTGGCCAGAGAGTTTCACACAAAAGGAGATGTGAGAACATTCTCTTGTGCGTGTTCCCTTGTGGCACACTTTGCCCACCATAAATAGAGAGCTTGCTTGCAGGATTGAAGGAAAGTCAATTGTAGTTAGAATAATTATTCGGCCAGGAGGCTCCGGAAACTAAGGTTACAATGGTTTGCATTGAGTGAAAATTAAATATAATTATTTCATTCAGATAACCAATGCTTACAAATAAGCACTGATTGAAAACAAGGAAGCTTTAGCTATTTTGCTAGGAGGCAATTTACAGTTACAGTGGAAAATGAGGATGGAGTTGACCTTGTTTTGATACAACCCCTCTTGCTTTATTATGTAAATCAGGTTTTTTTTATGCTAACTACGTATCTTTAAGCACAATTTCCATAAGAAAAGGAAAGAGGTCTGCATCAAAACAAGGTCAACATTAGCCTCATGTTCACTCAAAGGCTAGGATACCAAGCCCACAACTGTGAAATGGTCTGCTGAAGTAATCAAAAAGAAAGATTCATCTAAACCTTGTTGATACAGTTAGCACTGCTGCATCTTTCAAATTTTATTGAAACCCCTGAACAATGTCTTTTACATTATTATTACTACATACATTGTACAAACTTTGTTCTCAAAATCTACCATTATGAAAACATCTAGTGTAAAGGAAAATTTACAGGGACATTCAAGAATGCATGTAATCCAAAACAGCTGTAAACCTTGGTTACCAGGGTGAGATCTCTACCAAAGAGCTCACTCACTAGTTTAACCTGAGAAACAATTTTATTTGACACACCTACATGCACACTCAAACAAACAAATCAGATATAATATTACATTCAATATTCATGTTGTACTTCAGTTTTATCCTTGGTTTAATTTTCATTTCCCTTTGTTTTAAATTCATTGCCATACATTACCAAACCCCAAAACAAAGGGAAATAAAATTTAAACCAAGGATAAAATAATTTAAACCACAACATATATTTTGAGTATGTACTAAGAATTATTGTACCAGGTCTTTCTCTAGATTTTGTCTGTTATATTTTGAATTATGATTACACTCACAGTCCCATGGCTAGAGGAAAGAGATGGCATCACTCTATCCATTCCCTTCGCACACACAAGATCACGGATCATAGAGGTCAATTATCATCTAATAAGAAATCTTTAATCTGTTCTTTCATCTGGGCTCTCTGTTGAATTTTGTTGGCAGTTTCTACAACATAGGTTGGCAGATCATTGGGGTTGAACTTTACATCTCTAAAGGTCAGCTGACAACCATAACAGAATGTCTCAAGAACAAGCTGTTTGGTCAACCAGCGACCTGATGATGAGCTTGAACACCCACTGTCACAATCACCCGCACATGAGGATGCAGCAATATCAAGCTTAGAATCAAGCTTAGAATCACTGAGAGTTGAAAAATGATTGGGTCCTAGATTCATGGGAACTCCACAAAAGGCACAGTTTGTTGTATCATCTGAGGAGTCCATTGCTGACAACTTGTCTCCAGTCCTAAAAATTGTACTGACAGTAAATGGAAAGTCAGCCTGCAGACCAGTCACAAACTCTTCTGTCAGGCGATCAATGCTTGCATGAGAATGGCTCATTGTTCCCAGTGTTGTTATTGGCACAGTTTCCACACTGTTGAAGAAATTATACAGTGCAATTTCCTTGGTCGCAAATTCACGCATTGGTCTTATCAAAGTGACATCACCATGACGGTTGTCACTAAAGCCAGTGTCAAATGGCAGGTCAGCACCCCTTCCTTGAGAGATGTCGGACAACAGCCGGATTGATATGCGAGTGGCACAGTCAGCTAACATTACTTTTGAATAACCATCTTTCCTGGCAGTTGCAAGAAGTAACTGACATCGCAATGTCCTCAGAAGGTCTTCCTTTGCAGTCATAGATAAGGTCACATCAAAAAGGTTTGAAAGTTTTTCTGCCGAATTATTACCACTTTCTTGTTTTTCAAATTTCTCGCAACAAATTGCGTCATCTAGTGCAGATTTTTCCAAGGTAAAAATGTCCTCCAAATTAAACAGATGAAAAGGAAATTCTGTCTTTGATGCAATATCTCGAATTCGTTCGATGTATTTCTGCCGTTCTTCCCTGGTTGGCTTCAAAATTTCCCCTTCATCAATGAAAGCGATTCCTGGTTCAAAACGAAGCTTTTTGGGCGCTCCTGGACTCAATCCTTCACATACCAAGTGTAACATAGCGCTGGAAGAAGGCCCACCAGAAAAAGCCAACAAAACTTTTTCGCCTGCCCTGATCACACGTGCCTTTCCGATCGTGGCACGGAATTTGTGCGTGAAATACGCAAGAAAACACGGCTTACAGAGCGGATCATTCAATCGAACAACGACCACTGCTTTGCTGCGCAAGCATTTCATACACGTGCGGCAGCCTCCAAAGTTTTCCTTGACTGGTTTGTTTTCCAGACGAGTCGAAACGTTTTCTAAATCCTCGCTTTCTTGAACACTACACATAGTATTGAAGAGCGGCGAGAACACAGATCGAAGAAAGCAAGAGTATCTGTTCGAAACCTCATGGAGAGTACACCATTTTTGATTAATTATACTGACTTACACGACATTACGCATGGTTACTAATAAACCGCTGGACAAAGTTTTTCGCGCCCACCTTGTTGAATAGTTGTTAATTTACGTTCCTGGTTCCTTTCTTTCTGGCATTTGCCGGCTTCTTTGCACATCGTTAGAGTTTTATCGGCTGAGGTGCGGGCAAAAATAAAATGACGGAGTCTGTTTTTGCGAAGTCTGTAAGAATAGCGGCAGTTGTTTCACTGTATTGGTAAGAAAATGGCTCAGACAATCGCACATATAAGAATGATTTGTCAATTTAGGTGGTGAAGCGTTGCCACGTTGTAAAACTTTGTAATGAGCTTCCAAATTTTAGGTTCCAGCTATTAATTTTGCTGTTTTTCTGTATCTTTAGGGTGATTTCCATATCCATGGTGTTTTTGAATAAGTACTTGCTAAGCAGTCCGGATTTGAAGGTAAAAATAATTTCTGTGAGAAAAATTTTGAAATGTTCATCATATCTGCCCTAGTTTACGCTTAATTTTATTTTTGTGAATAACTTAATAAATGTAGAAGTAATGGTATACCGCAGAAATCGATGAATTTAAAAAAGATCCATTTTACCAATTAATGTCAGATCTCTGTTTAGGAAGTGAGCCTGACCTTTGGTAAGATTTTTGTGTAACCCGATACATTTACATGCATACAAAAAGTCATGTTTCGACCCTATTCATATTAAACTATTTGTGATTCCCTTAGGATTATTCCACCCAATTGTCAAATTCCAGTGCTGTGTCAGGTTCGAGTCTCGCTCTGGCCACTTGCTGGATCTGTTCTCGCTCGTTCTGAGTTCAAATCCTTGGCCAGCCAACTGTTTGTCTGCTGCCAGTTGGGGTTTTTAATCCTGTCATGTTGTATTTGAATTATTTTCTTCTAAGGCCAGGTTCAGACACCGCTCCACTCATGTGCCGAACCTAACTGATGAATTAAGTACAGCAAAAGAGCAGTGTCTGAATCAATTTGGTCTGTCAGTTTTAGTTAGGTGCGGCAAAAGTGTTTGGTGTGGCAAAAGTTTGACAGAGTCTGTCGAACTGATGATGATGATGATGATGAACTTTATTCATGTGTCAATGTATTTAGCTGATGCTAATTGGGGAGACAACAGAAAGATAAAGTAAATAATGAATAATATGATAAAGAAGAGATAAGAAATAAAAAGCTATGTTATAATCCTATATTATATATACATTTACAATATGCTAAAATAATCAAAACAATAAGGAACACGGAACACTAGGAACACGGGCACAACTTAAGAGGTACAAATTACGCACACGGAACAACTGTTGTCGAACTTAACTTAAGTTTGGCACACGGTGCACTGTCTGAATCAGATGTCGCACCAGTGTCACTCCAAAGTTGAACTTATTCAGTTATGTTCGGCATATGAAAAGTATGGTGTCTGAACCAGGCCTAAGTATTTGAGTGGAGTACTTGTAAACTAGCTGCATAAGCTAAATGCACTTTCCACTATAAACAAGCCTTTAAACCTTTTTATTAAACCCATTCACTAGGCCCTTTGCAGCTAGTCATTTACATGGTCCAAACACGCCATGATGAAGAAAAAGAGATGCACTTAGAAAAGACAAACCAAGGAGAATGTTGTGAGCTCTTCATTTGTCTTGTTCCAGTGCATCCCTTGCTCTCCAGCATGGCAGTTTTGTAGCAATAATAATTATTATGTTAGCCATGCAAAATGTGCTTCTTGAGTTTTTTCAAGTTTCACATTGTTATTGCTTACCTGTTGGGGTAACTGTAGTCCTGCTTTTATCCAAAAGTGACGCAAATTATGGTCCCCTCCACCTATATTTTTTAACTCATCTCCAAATCTCATCTAGAGCCGATTTTTGATATTCACTATGTCATAAGCACTTGGGCAACTTTGCTTTTGACTCTGATACCAATTCTGTCACCAATGAAAACCCACATTTAGAGTTAAAATCGCTACCCCCACAAAACAGGATACTAATACCTTTTAGGATACTAAGCCTGTGCCATGGACAGAACTAATCCTCTGTTTAAGTCCTTCTTTGAGCCAGCATCCAAAGCCTTGTGCTAGTTCCTTCGCTGTGTAATGGAATTTGAGTATGCTCCATGGCTGGCCAGTTAAAAAGCCATTGTTCAGTTGGCCAGTTAGGTTAAAGGGAAATTCAAAACACATGTGGTAATTTTTTGAGTCTGCTTCTGGCCAGAACAAGAATCTTGGTGCTGCTTCACAGAAGTTACTAGCTGGGGTTAGATAATGTTTCGGAGACTTTTATGCCGTGTGGAGTGTCTTTGGCAAGCACCCCTTTTTTCCTTATAAACGATGTCTGTCCTTTCAGCGTGACTGCTTTGTAGAAAATCTCCGAATGAGGATGCTATCTGCAGTTATTTGATTCTGTTTGTTGGTTTGTTTTCCTTTTCAGCTTGATGCACCATTGTTTGTCACATGGTTTCAGTGTGTAGTGTGTCTAGTTTGTTTGTTTCTGCTGAGTTTCCTTGGAGAAGATTATCCCTGGATAGATAAGTTCCCAGCTTTTTCCATTGACCTGAAAGTTGCTAGACAGGTGGGTATTACAGCACACAATACTGAGGTAAATCTCCAAATTATACTGCCCTCATCATTATTTCAAATATCTCTTTTGCCTAGGTCCTCCCACTATCAGCTGTTTTTGTTGGAATGATCACCTTCAATAACTTGTGCCTCAAGCATCTTGGTGTGTCCTTTTACAATGTTGGAAGGTCACTAACAACAGTTTTCAATGTGGTAAGAAAAATGATATAATAAGTTATTCCAGAGGAAAGAGTTCTTCTCTTAACAATGTACAATTATTAGGGTTTTTCATTTTGTTTTGTCTTTTTTTTGTTAAATTATTAAATTTTGTATTAGCTAAAAAAAAGTCATAAAATCACCCAATCCTCCATCAGATATTTTGCTGGCAGACATCTTAGATCCAGAATTTGATACAACAGAAGTTCATAAAAGCATAAGCTAACAAACAAGGCCATTGTTGGTTCTCTTCTTTGCTCCAACAGATTTTTCTCTGGGTACTCCGGTTTTCCCCTCTCCTCAAAAACCAAAATTTCCAAATTCCCATTCGACCAGGAATCAGGTAGACGAAGAACCACTTTGTGGACGTGCTACCTCCAAATCATTATTATTTATTTATTTAAATTTGAGTGCTGTTACAGTGGAACCTTGATATCACAAAGGGACAACGGACTGGCAAAATTTGTTTGCCATGGTATATATCAAGGTTATTTCTCGTATATTTTACTATTACTTGGGTTAAGAAAATCGTTTGTTATACTGAGGTCTTCTAGGGGTTATAATAGAGGTTCGTTATATCAAGGTTCCACTCTATGGAATAAAAATTATTTGTAAAATCCCACTAGTGTTCTATTATCAATGCTGCGTTCTGATTGGTTGAACTACTACTAGGCTATATGTTATAGTCCACTAGTAGCGAAAAGTGCAGGCTTTTTGACGGCAAAAGAGGATTAAAATCTAGCTTCAACTAGCTAAAAGTTTTTTATTCTCGATATTTTTGACCAACTACAGTTGGATTTTACCAAAACAATAATCAATTATTCCTCTCGCCCTCATGGCCTCTGAGTCAATAGCCAATTCAGCCTTCAGCCTCATGGGCTATTGACTCAGAGCCCATTCGGGCTCGAGGAATAATTGTTAAATATTATTGCCATGAAACATGCAGAGCTTACAGACAACAGAAAGATGAAAGTTGTTCATTAGTTATTGCTAAGAAAGGAAACAAAAAAAAGGTACAGTAAAAATACAAGTAATTATAAGCAATGAGGAGAATGAGTTTACCTATATTTCTTTTAGAACTGCCGTAGAATCCCAATTTTTCAAACCTTCTTGGCACAAGCAAATAGGTTTAAGTTATAACAAAGTTAGAATAATTCAGCGTAAATCACGAAGTGTCAGTTCGAATTATTGGGAGTTTTGGAAAACCAAGCATTCAAGAATTCAGGATTCTACTGTAATGAAAAAAACTTGTTTTAAAATCAAGACTTTTATCTTTTACTTTTTTCTAGATCTGCACATATATCATTCTTGGCCAAAAGACGTCTATCAAAGCCATGCTTTGCTGTGCCATAATCATTTCAGGTTTTCTATTGGGAGTTGACCAGGAGGGGAGTTCAGGAGAGCTCTCATACATGGGTGTCCTGTTTGGTGTGTTGGCAAGCCTGTGTGTTTGTTTGAATGCAATCTATACCAAAAAAGTGCTGCCTTTTGTCGACAATAATATCTGGCGCCTGCAACTCTACAACAACTTTAACGCAATTTTTCTGTTTCTGCCACTTATGGTCATCTGTGGTGATGTCAAAGCTATGTATGGTTTTGAAATGATTACATCCGCGTACTTTTGGGGAATGATGACCTTAGGCGGTATTTTTGGAATTGCAATTGGATATGTGACAGGTCTACAAATCAAGGTAACAAGCCCATTGACGCACAATGTGAGTGGAACTGCAAAGGCCTGTGCCCAGACCATTCTGTCAGTCACCATTAATCACGAAATAAAAACAGGACTCTGGTGGCTTAGCAACATGCTGGTGATTGGTGGGTCAACTGCTTATACTGTCGTGAAACACTCAGAGATGAAAGCTCAACTCAACCAAGAGACCCTACCAACCAAAGGCAATGGAGACGAGAAACGCGGTGATAATGTTGTTTAAATTCATTTTTCTGTCCCACAGGACATAAACAAGAACTAAATAATAATAGTAATTATTATTTAGGAATTGTACAAAAAAAGTGAAGTGGCTTTGATAAACTGGTAGATACTACATGTACATTCAATTGCTTTAAGTTATGTTTGTAAAGGAAAAGTTTGGTGTGATGTAAGTTCACATGGGGCCTTTTATCCCACATGCCCTTAGCTTATTCACTCTAACCCTGCCCTAATATCCACATACATATTCTCCGTACTGATCACCATACAGTTTATTGAAGAACTTGTTAAGAGAACTTGTTTTAAGATCAAAGTATTTTCATTTAGGTGGTGTTTTATTATTTCTCATCCTTTTCTCTTGATCTAATCTAATCCTACTACTTTTTTGATGTTCTCACTTCCGTTGCCATCGTCTTTGGTTAAGCTCCCTAATAAAGCTCTCCATTACTCCTTTAAGCCCCAACAGTGCTCAAAATCAATTTCCATAGACTCTCATGAGCAAAGTCTATGAGAATTAACAATATGATTACAAAGAGAAAAATATTTGATCTTTTACCAAATTCTCTTAACTAATTCTTCAAGGAAATGTATGGAGATCAGTTTGGAGAATTTTTATGTGGAATTTGGGGCTTAAAGGGTTAACAATAATTGTCATTGTTAATAGAGAGCTTTAGATTCTAAGATGAGGACAACTACGAGAAAGAGATTTTCCCAATACTAAGTAGTGCACTTGTGCGAACTAATGTCATTTTGGCAGAAAAATGCGATAGCCATCATCATTCTACTACGAGTTTTATTAAGAATGTTGTAGGAGCAAATTTTAGGAATTTTATCATTTAGCGATCAGGAGAGGGCTTTGGCTCCTTCAACGGAAATAACCTAACTAACTTTTGTGGTGAAAAAAAGTATAATGGTGCTTTCCGGGGTGTCTATTTTAAGAGAATAGGCATGGAAACTTAAAGTTAAATGTTGTCCCTGTATTCGTCCTCGCCCTCGAATTGAAAATTGATGTTAGTCACTCTTGGGTTACAAGTAATCTGGAAGTGCCAAGATAGACCTTTTTACCGATACGGCGGCCATATTGAATTAATTGGATTTAAGGAGTATTATGGGATGCCCAGGGGGCATCAGTACGATCTGATATACTGGCATCAGAAAGCGCACGTAAATACTGAGCAAGTGCCCCCCCGCCCCGGGCATATCATAATACTCCTTAAATCTAATCAATTCAATATGGCCACCATACCAGTGAAAAGGTCTATTTTTTTTCCCAAGAACATCAATTATTGTTAATTAATTCATCATCAAGAGAGGTTATTGGAATGAATAAATAAATGATCACCAAATTCATTTAGTGCTTTGACCTTTTATCAAATTCTCTCAGCTAATATTCTTTAAGGAAATGTACAGAGATCAGTGTAGAGAATTTGTAAGGTTGATAGTGGGGATTCAAGGGTTAAAGTTAAATTTGTTTATTAATGGCATTACAATATGTCACAAGGTGTAGATAATAGTCGTAAGGCCTTATTACATTTTATGGTTGTTGAAAACTGGTTTAAGCCAATACAAATGTCAATTACTTTTCTGCAGTGTGTAAATAACCATTTCATTTTTTTTTTAGTTATTTTGGTGTAATATTGTTACTCATGCTTTGAATGTCTATCATTGTTAAGGGAATAAATTATTCTTTTCAAATTGGCAGCTTTGAAACTGTCACTTTGAACTTATAATATGTTTTAGAATTCTGTTTATAGGTCTGTGCTTAGATGGGGTTAATAGCAGTTTAAAGTTTAGAAATGCTGTTAGCTGGTAATAAAAAAAATTGGACACAAAAAAACATTAAAATTATTGCATGATAAGAAAACTGTCAATACTTTTCGAATTTTAAAAGCTTCGGTAAACATCAGAAATGAGTAAAAACCTTGCATTCAAAGTCAAAGTTAATACTGTTAATAGTTGTTACTTGGGCATAAACACAAAACCTACTGTAAAGTTTTGAAGGTAACAACTTCCAAAAGTTAAGTCAAGAAAGATGTAAGGACTTCCTTCCAAAAGTAATAAATTGTTACCAATAATTCTAATAGTAGCATCCCCAGAAATGATTATTTTTCCTTTTTCTTTGTTATGCTCGAAGGTCAAGAGAAGGAAGTGAGAGAAAAATCCACCAATGTTAAATCACTAACAGATGATGGAAATGGTAAAATGGTAAATGATTATTGTAAACAGTAAGTTGAAAAACGTAATCTGCAACAAATTAAATCTTGTAAATTGTAAACTGTAACATGAAAATCATAATGGTGTGATGTAACTTAATATGACAGAACATGATATGATCAGGAGATCTGTAAGGACCATATTAACACAAATTGGACAAAAAATAATTTACAAAATGCAATTTTATTCATATTATTTCAAATTCTGTAGTTCTTAGAACAAGTTAACTGTAATGAAATACCCAGAGTTCCCACATTCATAATGTGTAATTTAATCATGTTAGCCTACGAGCAAGCTCTCCAGTTATGGTGAACTAAGTGAGGCCACCGGGGAACATGGCAGCAAGCAGCATGCTGTAGCATGATTTCTCCCCCCCACCTCCCCCTGCCCCCCCAAATGGAGAGCTTGCTCGCAGGCTATCATCATGTTTTCTAAACAATATTTGACCACTGAAAATAACAAAACCCTGCTCATAACTTCCCAAAGGAAGCAACTTCACAATCTCACGTGCACAAATTTGTGACTTAAGAATAACAATAAAAACATTAAAACGTAAACATTTTCTTTAAACTAGCCATAAGACATAGTTTGAGCCTCTAGGTGAAATGTAGCTATTATTGAATGATGCATCCTAATTGTATTACATAACACGATATTTGCCGAAACGAATTAAATATCTTCAAAATTTCACTCCAGAGCACGGTTGCATAAAACAACTCTTAAGAGATTTTCTTTGCAAAACATGGGAAAGATACTTTCTGCGTTCCTCCCTATTCTCACTTCAATCCACCTTGCTGCCTGATGAGAAGATGCAAGACAATCTTCTTGCAGAAACTTTACTCTTCATCTAAGTTGCTTTATGTCACTGGGTTCTGGGCTAATAAATAACTTTCTCACATTGAAATGAATACAGAAAACAAATTATACCAGTATGTGAACAGGGCATGCAAGTCATGTGTTTTAAAGAAACACTTGACCATCAGCATCACATTTTCCAAAAAATAATTTTTATCGTACCGTCAACTCTAAGACAGACACCTTTAGGACCAGCCGGCACTCTTAGATGACTGTCTTAAGGCTGATTTAAACGGTACAATTTTTGCTCACGACCGTCGTGAAAGTGAACTTGGAACCTACTTTGAGTGTGAAGGGATAAAATGTACCTACTTTAACTTTACTTGGTGACCATGGTAACGTTTGTAGTTCAAAGAAGCCGAAGTTTGCTCTGAAGTATGGTCTACACCACACTTGAGAACACACTTGACCAATAACAAATGGAAGCCATGTGCCCGTTGTGCACATGCAGCAGTTCCAAGATTCTAATGAATGGAGAGATTGACAGCTTTTACTTTAAGTAATATACTTTGTCCACAAGTGTGAAGCCATGTCTTTTACAAAGCGACTTAAGATTTCCAAGTGCACTTGAATCCAGGGCTTACTTGAATCTAACTTCGCTTCTAGTGTGAAGCTAACAATTATTACCAGGGCACAGCTCCAAATAACAGACAATGTCTAGCCAAAATGGCATCTTGACACGCCAACAACTATTTAACAGTCAAGCACACTGTTGTTCTGGAAGAAACAACCAAATCCTCACCTGCAAATCTAAGCGTGCTTTCCAAAAGGCAGAACTAGCCGGCCGGACAATAGCCAGACCAGACATTTTAGCAATGAAATAGGTTTTGCTGAAAAACCATCTCCGTTATGCCTAATAATTTTTTAGGATTTGACTGATATGTATGGTTAGTTTTGATTAAAAGTGAAATTCTCATTACAAGGGGAATGGGCTGCTGGGCAGTCAGTTCTGACAAATGGAATGCACCCTTAGATTTTGTCTCTTTGTAAAAATACATATTGATAGTTATACAAGGATTAGTCAACATTTTTGCCCAATATTCTGACCAGTCAGAAACGAAGCGTGACCTAGCAAGAATTTCTTTGGGTGGTCACCCTGTCTGGCCACTGTCCAAAAATTATTTTGAGCCGGCCTGCAGGAAAACATTTTCAGGAAAACGTGTCATGGCTTTCCATGACATGCACCAACAGATAAATCCCATTACTTTTCACCCCTTAAGCATCCTCTGAACCCAGTGATCCCATGAACTGTGCCTTCTTTATGGACTGATCAATCTTGGATGCCTTAAGCATTGTCACAGAACCAAGTAGAGACATTGCTACCATAAGGTAGAAAGGGCCTGTCCAGCCATACTTGTCAGCAATCCAGCCAACAATTGGACCTTCCACTATGGGACCTAATCCACCAAAACCTGAGAAAATATTAAGATGGAATCCATCAGGAATTTGGATAATTTTAATTTTAGGTGGACAAAAACCTTGTACCAGTCGAAGAATAATATTACTTAAAGCATATTGCATTCTTTTTTTACATTTTTCAAGGGCTATAGATGTAATTAGTTATCTGTAATAGCACCAAAGAAAACTTGTCATGGAAGCCCGAGAAAAAAACTGTCAAATTTCACAATGACATCTTACACATGAAATTTTGAGAATTTTACCTGGGTTTTCACAAAATTTGACATTTATTTTCTTGGGCTCTCTTGAGAAATTGTCTTTGGTGTTATTGCAGGTAACTCATTACATCAGCTATAGCCCTTGAAAAGTCTAAAAAAAGAAAGTGATCTATTGTTTAATATTCTGGTACAAGGTTTTTCTCCTCTGAAAATTAAAATTACTCAATTTCCTGATGGATTTCATCTTAATAAATGCAGTCATCCAAAACTGCAGAAATGGAATACATGTACATACATTTAGAAATAGATTTTAGAGAAAAAATAAAAGTAAATAAAATAGCTTTCCCTTCTATCCTTTGCTATTAGTAACCACCTCTACCAAAGGTGTTTCATTTGAATTGAAAGGATTTTCTTCCACAGACTCAGATGTAGATGTTTAAATAATTATGTTGAATCATCTCGCCATAAGTTATTCTAGGGGTGGAACATTTTAACTTACTTTTGCATTTTTGTTGAGTCATGCATGTTTCGTGCAGTTTTATTTTCGTGATTTCAATGGGCAAATCATGATAAAAAAGGGCATTCAATTTCCCAATTCAACCATCTGATACCCACTAAAGGTTTAAAAAACTTACTAACCATTGACAAGTCCTGCTGTGGCAGCCTGTGCATTCTCTCGTTCACCAATTTCCGCAGGGATTGAGCCAGTTAAGTAAGGATCTACCCCACAGTTACAAGCACCAGCTAAGAACATGAATACAGCATTGACGGCAAATCCCCAAGTACCAGTGAACTGAAACAGGGCGAGGAATAGAGTGCTACCAAACAGTGCTAAAGTTACACCATAAATGGCCCTACCTTGAAGAAATCTGAAAGACATGAACAAAATTAAATGGATTTTTTTTAAACCTACTCCTTTTTGAGGACAGTCAATTATCTCTGCTCATGGAAACCTCCATAAGTGGACCCTTAGGCTATGGTAATAACCAACGTCAGAAATTATCCGGCCATAACAGTCCTGGTGTCAAGAGAATTCCACCAGTACCGTAATGCAAGAACTGTCACCAGCGTGCAAAAAAGGTTCTGTCCGTTAGCCCCGGGGCTGGATTTTGCCATCAGGCTAGTGAATTCTGTTCTTAACTTGCCTGATAGCCAAGAAAATTTTTTGGGGGATTCAAATTACATTAGGGATAGTTACTTCACGTAAACTTGAAATTTTTTTTAAAAGTGTATGTGAAAGACCCAAGGCCGCTTTTTATGCTGATCCGATGAAGCGAATTCTGCAAAAACAAGTTCCATGATATGTACCGTGTGGAAACCAGCTTTTGTTGATATAGGAGCCTTGCATGGTTAAATAAAGTTGATCTTATCTCTCTTATCTTATGACGTTACACTATTTTCGTGTCACACAAGACATTGTGTGATCCAGGCAATCTTCAGGTAAATGCAATATTAAAACTACCTTAGAAGCAAGACTCCCAAGGCCTTCAATGATTTTTTAGCCTTTATTAACTCAGAGGGGGGGGGGGGCAGTCAAAATGACTCTCAGGCTAGTACATGCTAGCTGCAGTACAACTGACTTAAAATAAAACTGACTTTCTTTGCACCCTGTGTTACATGTTCCTTCAATACACACTGTGCGAAAACAGTGAAGAAATACCTGGTTACAAAGAATCCTAACATGGCAGTACCCAGTACTCCACCAATTTCAAACACCGTGGACAAGTAGCCTGCCTGATACTTTGAGTAATTGAGCTGGAAAACAAACAAATTGAAAAAAGCTGCTTAGTCTTTATTTTCATCCCATATTTTCAGGACACTTACTAAGGATTCAGTCAAGTCTGACAACTGTATTATCAAAATATTCACCTGGCTAATAAAGCTGTTCAGAAGTACTTACTGCCTGGTAAAGATACATGGGAAGCCACATGTACATGCAATACCTCACAAGCTTTACACAGCAGCTGGCCCAACAAAGCTCTGGTACCATCCTTATTGTAAAACAAAAACAACCAAAAATCATCAGAAATGCCAGTGTCTGTATATCTAAAATCTGGAAACTGTCTCTTCAACAAATTAAAATGTGGTGTGCCTCAAAACATTATATTATATGCATCACAGGTAAAAATAACAGATTCCCATTTTTGGATATTTTAGGGTATTAAATTTTAAAGAACACCCACAAAAATCCCAAATTTGTAAGAGTGAGACAAGTCCCAATCAGGGAACTTGGTTGGAAATTCCGTGGTTGGGACTTGTCTCACTTTGCCAAATTTGGGATTTTTATGGGTATTCTTTAAATACCCTAAAATATCCAAAAATGGGAATCCGTTATTTTTTCCTGTGATACATGCCAACTCTCCTGGATTATCCAGGAGTCTCATGGATATGACACCAACTCCTTGTCTCCTGTACTGGTCACCAAATCTCCCAGATAAAATCAAGTTATGAGCTTTTCTTTGCTTTAATTTAGAATTTATCCCATTTTCTCCCAAAATTTGAATTTTCTGTGATTCACAGTTCGGTTTCTGGGGCATTTTTGCATGTATTTCATCACTGACAAAGATCATTTCATCATTACAATCATAAAGGTGAATTGTGACGGTCTGTACCTCATGTAAGAATTTATTCGGGGATAATGCACAAGAGAGTGTCTCAAGATTTTAGATTTCCTGAGGTTGGCATCTCGGTATTATGTTGTGTTACATGAGTTACAGACCATCAACTTAAAAGTCACTTCCACGAATGAAATGACAAAACTATCTGCAAATTTTCTTGAATGTGAAGGGGTGAAAAATGAAATTTTATTATGGGGTTTCTCCCAAGAGTCACTCTTTAGCATACTGTACTAATTTTAGATATTTTGACACAAAAACTAAAATTAATGTAATCTTACTTTAATTTCCAGAGTTGACTGTAAGTCAACTGATTTTGTTCAGGAGTAGATCCACTAGACGTCTTACTAGTTTCTAAGGACAACAAAAACAGCACAATATTATTCCTTATTATATCACCAAAATTAATGCAGTGCAACAATTTAATTTCTTTTAACCATCAAACAAAACTTATTCAATGTCTTGCACATTGCTAGGCTAAGCAACAAGGTAAGGGTAAGGTAAAGGCGTGCATGAGCCAAAGGCTTAAACGGTCGAAACTCATCCCAGTTTCCTTAGCATGAAGCATGCATAGGAAATTGCTACTCCCCCCTGGATGGGATACTGGTCCATAGCAGGGTTACCCCCAGCAGTATGTCGCCAGCACCCATTTATACACCTGGGTGAAGAGACACAAACTGGAGTAAAGTTCCTTGTCTACGGAAGCAATGCAACGGGTGAAGCTTGAACCCCAGACCCCCAGATCCACAGTTTGAGGTGTTAACCGCTAGGCCCACATATGCATACATTCCTCCATCTAAGCAACAAGAATGAATAGCAAATATAGGAAGTTTGCTTGTTGAATCCCTTCTACCACACACAATGAGTTTGAAAGCACTGGTATGGGAAACTGCCCACCTACCTCGGTGCTACCCTAAGCCAACATAAGCACTTACTTCTCACTTAGGGCAAAATGTTAGGGAGGGGTAGGTGGGCAGTTTCCAAGAAACATCATGATCCAAAAAAAACAATGTTGAAGAGTGGCTGGTTCAGATCCTGACTAAACAACTTTGACAAGGGTGGGATGAGGGGAGAGGCCACAGCAGTCCAAGATTGTAGGTTGGGGTTAAGCATGGGGCTAACAATCCCACCTTGCTACAATGAAAACCGGGGGTTAGTTTGAATTATGGAGTTAACCAGTTGACCAGTTAACCAGACTTGACTAAAATAAATTTTGTCATTCACCTACTGTCTTGGAAGCTTCTGAAATGCCAAGTTCTGAAGGAGAATGAAGAAAAAGAAATACTAAAATTCCAACACTGCCCTGCAAAACAATCAAGTTTTATTACACGTTAGAGAACAACTGTACCAGTCCATTTTAAAGAGGAGTGTGCCTTGTGATTGTAAGGTGTTTTAGAAAGAGAACTAGAACAACGACTAGTTTCATACAATCACTGGCACCTACCAAGAGGGATTGCCTTTTCCTTCTAATCTAAAGTACGGCTCATTTATAATTAAGAATCATATTGCACGCTACGCAGATTTTGTGTTAGGCAGCATCACCAGCTACCACAAGTTTGTTTTTACTCTTTGTTTAGTATAAATTACTTTTCGTAACTTACTTTAAAATTAGGGCAGATTCTTTTTAAACCATATATGATACAGTTCTGGGTGCTTTGCACAATAAAAGAATCATTTACATTCATTGTAACCTAATGCTAGGTAATTTGATGGTGCAGAAGTGGGTGTGGCTGAAGATGGTAGGATTGGGATCAGGGTTCATGTCAAAGGACCTTTTAAGGTGAATGCATGTGAATTAGAATTCACATGCAGTCACACCTGCAAATTAATCCCTCTGTCATGTAGAATCTATAGAGTTTTTGGACTTCAGGAATTGTGTAGTACACAATGCGATTCTCATCTCATGAAAGGCAAGTTACTTACATACGATCAGAGCCACAACTGAACATTGAGTAGTTTTTTAACTAACAAATTGATAATGAGACTTGTTTATGACTAGTTTGAGATGCTAGGAAGAAATTCACTTTATATTCTTTATCACAGTGTCAAACACTTCTTACACAACTAATAATTTGAAAAAGCTTGATTGATATTGTTTAATACTCTTCTTGACTTCACAATAAAATGTTTGCCAAAATATAATTTGTCATTAGTAAAATCCAACTAGTGGTCTATTATCAATGCTGCATCCTGATTGGTTGAGCTACTACTAGGCTATATGTTATAGCCCACTAGTAGCGAAAAGCGCGGGCTTTTTGGCGGCAAAAAAGGATTAAAGTTCAGCTTTACCTAGCTAAATTTTTTTTATTCTCAATATTTTCGACCAACTAGTGGGATCTTACTAAAACAATAAATTATTCCTCTCGCCCTCATGGCCTCTGAGTCAATAGCCCATGAGGCCAAAGGTCAAATGGGTTATTGACTCAGAGGCCATGAGGGCGAGAGGAATAATTGTTAATTAACTGTGATAAAAGCAGATACATGCACCATACACTTTGGAAAATTAAACTTACCACTATTACAGAGGGGATCAAAAATATAAACCTCATGTCTTGCATAAAGTGAGACTGCAACTGAACCTGGGCAAATGAGATTACAAATCTTTTAACTTGTCTATCATTACAGTGAATGGTTGTCTATCATCATTTTAAAAAAGGTTAGGGAGCCTGAAGTCTTTTTTGAGAAATGGTTTGGATTGAGATTGCTAAGCACCCTTCTAGTTGAAGAGACTCCACATAAATAATAATTATTTTGCCATGAGCCATCAAGCACAATCAATAAGTACTGATTTCCCTAAACAGGGTACTTTGAATGCTCAACACTGGTAAAAATCACCAACTACCCATCAAGGTTCAAGTGTCTGCTACTCAAAGTAAATAATTTTTTAGGTAGGATAATGATTATGTCATATTTGTTTCTCAACACGTTTGTTTGAAAAACATAAACATATAAAATATATTTTTTAATAAAGCATATGTGAGTAAAGAAAGGTGCTGATATCATGGTTAAAATTCTTCAGGGCCCTTGAAATAAAAACTTTCCCGAGGAATCCCCGAGTAGGAGGGGTTAGTTCCCATTCCATACCTTCCCAAGCTTACCCTGGGTAACAGAGGTTTTTTCTCGCATGCGACGGGGAGCTTCGTTTTGTCGGCCACGGGCCGACACGTGTTCAGCCAAAGGCCGAACTGGCACAAGTGGCGAAGCCGCAAGAAATTGAAAGGCACTCTTTTCAATCTACTTCATGGCTGCCTAGGTTTGTCAATAGAAGCCGGCATCTGGTAAGTGATTGCTGCTAGCCTGCGTAACAGGCGTTAAAGAGGGGGGCCGAGGGGAGGGGGGTAGGGGGAGGGCAAGAAGGGAGAAAAAAGGGAGAGGGGTTAACGCCGGCTACGCTGGGTAGATTGCCATCTACTTTGGAATTCGTAACCACTTAATTACTTTGCACTCTATTTGCTGCTTTTCCCTCCCTAGTTTACAGCTCCTCCATTTGTCACTGCTGCCTACTTAGAGTTGGGCAGTCGCCTACTTCGAATGCTGTTGAGACCGTGGTTGCCTTCTTTTAACCTCCTGCTACTTTAAAATTTTTGGAGAACCCTTATACTAAAAAAAAACGAGCTTCACACGTTAATTTTAAAAAAAATCATATTTTACTCACAGCCATTGCCGTCCCTAGGATTCCACCAGCAAAGCTGCTTGTTCCAAACAAACCAAACACAGTCATCCTTTGTTGGTCAGAGAACCAGTTGGTTAGAGTCTTGACACAGTTTGGCCACGCTGTTGACTGTCAAGATATCAAAATGTAATAATTAAAAATTTTGAAGTTAGACACATTGAGTGTGTACCATAGAAATGAAGAAATAAAGAGGTATCTGTCCATAAAGAGAGGTTTGATTGTAGCTGCATGCTGAAAACATTAAATTTTTCTAAGACCTCTAAGGACACCAAGTGGTCCTGAAACTCCCAGATACGATGTCAAGGCAGGGCTGTCAATAAGGGCCTGAGTAGCCGGCCAAAACCGCCGGCTAGTTCACCATCCTTAGCCGGCTACTTTCATCTCCTTCTACCATAAGAGAGTCATAACTGCTAACAAAAAATAAGCTCCATCAAATAAAATTGTAAAGCATCCATTTCTCACTTTAGAATGAGATTGAACGCATATTTAAACAGGTTCAGATCTGTGAAACTTTCGAACCGTGTGATGTGGTGGAATGCCTGGGACATTTTGACGGCATTGTTTCCAGTCTTGCATGTATTCCAACAAAGCAACATGGCATCTGCAGTCGAAAATACCTGGGACTTCAAAAACTTGTGCCTTTGGTACCGGTGCGAGTTCCAAAGGCACCTACTATTCATTATCAGTCTACTTTAAAACTTTTTGACAGCGCTGTTAAGGGATTCCCACATTGACAGAGAGGATCTTGTGAATGTGACGTCAGACCAGAATGTGTAGAGTAAGATTATTGTTCAAAGCGTCCTCTCACTGAAAGGGCCAAATAATGAATGATGGAGGATTAATAAGCAACAGAAAAGAATAAGTTTTGGTAAAAAGAAAACTAACCTGTGCCGTTCCATTCAAGAAAAGCAGCAGTGCAAATATCAACAAACTGTTCCAGTATCCAAAGGATACCTAAGGCAAATAATATCATGCATGCATCAAAATATTGGCTTGACATTAGTACAACATTAACACTGTTATTGCTGAATATTGTTAAGGCTAAGTTAAGGCAAATTCCAGGAAGAGACATGGCCTTAGAACAGTGATTTACGACAGTCAATCAAAAAATTTACTCTTTTTAAGTAACTACATCAGTCCATCAACATTTTTTGGGGGTCATGAAGCTGGAAATTTTGAACCAACTTAAGGAAAAACTGTTCCTTTAACCCGCTGATCTTCAGTGATTAATTTTGTAAATGTCCATATTTGCAGAGGAGAGGAGGGCTACGATGAGATGGGAAGAAAGTGAAGTTGAAACTAAGCAAACATCTTTTCTAGGTACCAACAAAACAAAACTTCTCCAGTTCATATGACCATTATCTTGATTATTTCAAGGGTTTCATTAAGGGCTGTGTACCAGAAAAGGACATTGCATTTGATCTTAAGAGAACAAAACTCCTAAATCCTGGACATTCTGTGGTCCTTGGGAATACTGTGGTACAAAGGGGTGACCTTTTTTAAGTCATGGGCAGACCATAATTATGGTCATGTGCTAGGCAACATAACAAAGCTCACTTGCAGCAAATTGTTTATCAAGAGTCTCTCTAACAAAAGAATCACTGAACCATGATACCCACGATATTGCACAGATTTTTGATGAAAGGATAATCAAAGCGGTCTCCAAATCTTAAAACATACATGTTAGCCCCCATTTATAAGCTCATCTGCCTGTAAACGAAAAAATACATCCGGTTATGAGACCCCCCCCTCTAGCTTACAAGTGTCAAAATGAATTTGACTTGTTACAATGTGTTGAAGGTTAGCTAAAAAAAGCAATCAAATCAAAACGTATTTTGATCAGCACTGATATGTAGCTTATTTTGAAACACTTTTTTGGTCTGTTGATATAAGCCCCCTGTTAACAAACCCTCCTACAAAACCCTTGTATGAGCTCAGCACTTATAATCAGAAGTTTACTATATGACAAGCGCAGTTTTATATAAATTTCTTTTGGCTGAACTAAGCTAGTAACAAATAATAAAAAAAATAATAAAAAATGATCAATGCTTACCATAGATAAAGCAGACCCTAAAAGGCAGCCAGCAAGTGCTACTCGAGGTCCATATTTGTCACCAAGTGATGATAACATGATCTGCAAAACAAGCAGGTGTCAAGTTTTAACCCTTTAATTAGCCCCAATATCCACATACAATTTCTCCAAACTGGTCTCAGTGCATTTCCATAAAGAATAGGTTGAGAGAATTTGATAAAAGTTCAAAGCATTTACCCTTAGGGGATTATTCTATCAAATATATTCTTACAACCTTTTCTCTTGATTGTGTATTGATATTGTTAGAGGAAAACAAATAATTGTCGCTCTTGGGACAGCAGTTTTTCCAGCTATTCTGGGGGTGGCCCGATGCCTCTAGCAGGGGCACCTTGTGACTTATATACGCGGTTGCTTGCTTCAGTTCTTTGCAAAGTGTTGTTGCAATAGCTTGTTGTTTGTGTGCTATTTTGTGCTTTTGTTTTTCCCATCCCTCCCTCCCTCTTGAGGTTAGGGCCAGGTAAGTATTGGTCAGTAAGTATTCCACTGAATTGTTCAGTGTGACGGTGCCTGGTGGGGGCCGCTCACAGGGTTGCCATGGATACCTCCTCCTCATACTAGAGCATGGCCCAACTCCACCAACTTTGTAGGCACCAATGCCCATGATGACAAGTTTAAATGCATAACAATGAGCCCAAGGTGTCCCCCCCAACCCTCCCCGCCACCTTAAGCATTTCAAAATGCTCTTTTCCTGACTTGTGTTCTGTGACAGGAATAGAGAGTTTCTCAAGGACTTGAAAAGGGATGGACATGCTTTTCAGAAATTTAAATAAAACCCCCAAAAAAACCAACAACCAGAAACCAGAAAGGTCAGCAATGTGCACAAAATAAAAGTAAATACCTGCATAAAGGCATACGGAAGGAGGAGAGCAGTGTCTAAAAATCCTAGCTCAGTCTTTGAGAGATGGAACACATTTGCCAGATCTGCTTTGACCTACCAAAACAAACAGTTAAAAAATTACAGTGTTGAATTGCCAGACAGTCTCTGGCAATAAACAATTTCATATTTTCCACTTCGCTTTACAAGTCTACTGATGTTGAAAAGTGGGTCCACAAGACTATAATTCAGGCCACTGAACATTAACTGAATGAGAAAACTTAATAACAATGCATAAATTGGATGTGAGCATTATTTCCCTTTCACTACAACAAGGAGTAAGCAAAATAATTTTGCTGTTATTGGAGGATGCCCAAGTGTATGCACAACAGTCAGTAGTATACTTGGTCAAGATAGCACAGAAGTGACCCTTGATCTTATAAAGTTCAGATTTTACAAACACAAAAATTTGCATGGGAACGTTTTAGAAGAAATCACATCCGGTTAGAACAAACATCAGAGGTGAAGAAGAACGGTGTACTTGCAATTTGAACTAAAACAAAGGAGATTGAACTAGAGAGAGCATTATCCTTTTGCACTTGAAATTACAGCAAAAAAAGTCTTTTTAGTGTGGAGTCCATTTTCGAAAGAGATTTTCTCGAAATTTCCACTGCTTTTAAAAAATCTACGTGCGGCAAATGAAAGATTGGCCTTTTCTCGAACAGAATCCGTTTAAATTTTAAAAATCAGTTGAGTAGAACCACTATCCATTTCACTTTGAAAATTTCTGGTAAGAGCTGTGTTCAAAAATGGCGGGTCTGGAGCAAGCGAGCTATTGTCCTAAGCTCAAAACTGAATAACAATGGTTGCCAAGACTGAGACAATGCCCATTCAAGAAAACCACTCCACTGTAAAAAAAATCTCACAATTGCCGCGAATTTTAAAGCCAATACAGTGTGACATCTGACTTATTCGAACTGCCAGCTAGATTGCCGAATTAATAACACTGAAATTGCCGAAACAAACAGGGGCGCTTTTCAGAGCTCTTAGAAACATATGTTTTGACTCGCACACAGTATCCCCACCGTTGAAACATCAACATAGGCTTTCCATTTCTGATTTTTTGGCAATGAATCATTCAGCAGCCTGAAAGACGCCCAAAATGTATGGTTATTTCTCACATCAACTTCTATCGAAAAGAAAATCTACGGGCACTTAGAGGCTCTTGTAAAAGCCTTTAGGTGGGCGATCACGTTTCTCCATTTTATAAACAAGTAACAAGTCTGTTGTCATCTGAGACCGGAAAAGGAATATTTATATGTTCACATACTATGGCAAAGACTTGCCACAGGATCGAAAAGCGTCAATAAGGATCCTGAATTATTTGACAAAATATTCATAATTGGCCGATGGGACGCGAACTTGACAGAAAAAAAAATAAACTGTGACTGCCTAATGATACAGTTAGGGTTTTGTTACAGGTCTATAAAGTTTCAGACTGATTTTATTTTGTACGAAAGTTTGCCATTTGCATTTAATACAAAGCCATTTTTTCTCTTTTTTTGACCGCGCACAACTCTTTTTGATTATAGATGTCACTTCCCGATGACGTAGCATGTTTAACATCTCCTTTTTTAAAAGCCCTTAAAAGGGCTTTCATCACACGTTATTGTGCGTCCGCCGGGTCTATTCCGGAGACCGCTGAGGGTCAAAATTAAAGTGAAATAAAGGATTCTTGGTAGCCGGACAGAGACAACACAATTACTTAATTATTATTGTTGCGTTATCTCCGCGTGCATGTAGTCTATTAAAAGCAAATGCCTTACTCCAAACTTTTGCTATCGCCATGTCACTCAGCAGAAAATTAAAATCAGCCCGAGCTTTTCAGAGCTGTACTGAGTGGAATTGAAAGAAACCTTTTCTCAGTCATCATAAAATCAGTTATTTTGTTCGTTGAACCCGGATTTTGGCATGCAGTAATTTTATAGATTCTCCGTAGCTCTTTGTTCGTACTTCTAACAGTTATGCTTGGAGTAATTTAGAGGCGTACAGGTGTGATTTTACCAAACAAACAATACAAACAAAAGAAAAACAAAAGAGCGATTCGGCTATATATTTATATTGTTAGTTTAACCCGCCTACTTGGCTTCATTGCGTTCATGGTAACCAATGAAATTGCCTCTTCCTTGGCATTTTAGAATAACAATGGCCGATAGTAAATGTTCTGGGAACAATTTAGCCATTTCTCCCGATGATGTATCCAGGATAAAGATTCGTATAGATGGAATCTTAATAGATGTAAATCCGCTTCTCATGAGTTTATCATGAAATACAGATATCAAGGATTAATTGGAAGGCAATTTTAACCCCTTAAAAAATTAAAAAGGTTAAGCATAAGTTTCTTCTCTGCAAAGACGGCATTATTTAGAGAATTCACGTAATACATTTCAGAGCGTGTCATGTCACGTCGGACAAAAGAGTTCTTATACTTACCACACCAAGGGGTTTCCGAAGTAAATATGTCGATGCATAACTTAACCAAGTCATAAAAAGACAAGCTATCTGTCTGCCTTTGTACCCGTCCATTGTGATCATGATAAAAACAGAAAAATCACAAAGAAATTCCCAGTAGCAGAGAGCTCTTGCAAGCCGCCATTTTGAGGTGTGAATTACCTTGGATCGAGCATAGACTGGGGCAGAATTATTTTGTTAAAATACTGACGTCACTGTGACGTCATTTTCGGTGAAGGCAAGAGAACTCCATGTTTGGGAAAAAGTTGGTGGACTTTGAAAAAACATACATATATAGAAAGATATAGGTTTGAGTAAAAGTTTGATGTTTTGAAAAAATAGACAAAGGGCAAGTGGAATAAAGGGCATTCTCTCAGGGAAAAGTCACTAAAACAGTTTGGTCCCAATCAAATATGAATAGCAAAAAAATCAGAACCGACGAGACTTCTTAAGTATTGTGGACGATACCCCCATAAACCGTGAAAACAAAAGCATATTTAACAATTATTCCTCGACCCCGAATGGGCTCTGAGTCAATAGCGGCCTCATGGGCTATTGACTCAGAAGCCATGAGGGCGAGAGGAATAATTGTTTTAGTAAAATCCAACTAGTTGGTCAAAAATGTCGAGACAAAACAACTATAGCTAGCAAAACGCGATTCAGCCTCCGTTGTTTTGGTTTTCAAAGCGGGCGCTTTTCGCTACTAGTGGGCTATAATATATAGCCTAGTAGTAGCTCAGCCAATCAGAACGCAGCGTTGATAATAGACCATTAGTTGGATTATACTAAAAAGCCATTACGCGGCAACATTAGCATACACAAACGTATTTCCGGTTAAACAGAAGGAAAGTACAAAGGAAGTACGTGTGTTTCGCAAAGTTTGCCAGCCTCCACTGAAAATAACCGGTAGGTATGTATGGCTTCCTAAAGAGTGTGTTCTTATTTATTTTCCTTTCCTGAGGAGTCTTAATATTTTGCACGTCGAATATTAAAATGCTAAAAACGCGTAAAATTTACGCGCGCGTTTCACTTTTCCATTTTTAAAGTTTAAAGGCCAAGTAAGGCGTGAACGTCACCAGGCAACAACCAATCAGATTCGTGTATTTCCTAAAACAGCCAAGCTGTTTGTCTGAGAACGGCCATTTTGTAGCAACTTTGTAGTGGAGAGGTTCTACGTCCTGAATTGAGTCAAAAATTGCTGTTTTCAGCCAAATTAACGAAGGAGATGTCACGAAGAATACACCCCGCGTTTCAGAGTAAAACGGTCGTCAAACTAGAGTGCAAGTATTGCGAAAGATACATTTGTGCTCGTGGAATGAGGGCGCTTTTGTTGGCCGACACCAAGGTGGAACTCTACTCGACTGACTTGCCCCCAGAAAAGTAAGTTTAATGGTTGTTTCTTTGTAAATAAGGATAAAGCTGGTCCATTTTTTACCGGATAACCTATAACATTTTCGCATTTCTTTGTAGTGCTATTCAGCTGATTGGAACAGATTACTCGACAGAAAACTGTGATTGTCGAATCAAAGATGTTGCCTGCCTCGGATGGTAAGCTTCAAATCAATGAATCGCATTTTATTTGCCTCTCTTTTCAAAATTGCCCTTCTGAGGAAATCTTCATGTCATGTTTTCAATAGTTAGTTGTGATTTTGAACTCTCGTTTATGCTGTATTTGTCTCAATTTTCAGCGGAAATGTTGTCGGATACCATGTAACTCTTCCATGTCAATCCTGTATTCGTTCCTGTAACAACGGTCATTTCTGGATGTTTCACTCCAGTGCTGTTACGCCTGTCGAAAGATTGGATCAAACAGGTAAAAATCCGTAATATATTGATAGCTTGTACTGATAAAAATGAAAACCTCACAGTGGACTTGGGGGAAAGCACGTGGAGATTCTAAATTTTATACAGCTGTTTAATTGTTTGATGTCATAAGTTGACATCATTGTTGTTTTGCACTTTATTCAGCTTTTTGTCTGTAATAAGTTACAGTATTTATTTCCGGTGATTATGGTGTTGTTATGCTAACTTTTGGACGTGATATGACCACATTTTGCATTGATAACCGTAACAGATGACAAGTAAATAAGTTGGAAATAAATCGTAGCTAATCAGGTCATAATCTCCTTTTTAATAACCCATGGGATAGAGAAAGGCGACTATACTATAAAAAATTTTTATGCAGCATTACACTCTAAATTTTTCATCACTCGAGACTGATGGCCACTAATTATTAGGTACTGTTGCATGGGTGAAGCAAAATCACTCGAGCTCACATGTAAACGCAGCTTAGGCCCAGTTCAAGGGGTCAAACTTTTCATGTACCTTACTGAATACTTATTTAGGTCCACTAAACTGACGATACAGGTTTGACAGTTGATTCAAACATCTCAACTTTATAAGTCGGACGCAATTTATTTTCACGATGTACAATGCTTCTTATAGCAATTGTATGAACAAGATTTTGCACATGAAAGCAGTGTTTGAAGCAAAGTCACTTCACTGTCAAAATTCTCATGTGGGTCATGCAAACTTAATTCATGGGTTGGCCTAAACTTTATTGATTCAAACTAAATTGTAGGAATTAATTCATGGGTTTCTTTTTTTCAACTGTGCCTTATCTGAGGCACCAAACTTTCAATTGGGGATTCAAATGATTTTTTGGGTTTGAAATTTTGATTTTTTTGTACTAAATTTCTTTGAAGGGGTGATTTGAGTAGGGATTTTTGGGATTCCAGTGCCCTGGCTACGTAGTTCTGTGAATAAAGGTTCTTGTTTCAACTGTTATAAAAATAGTCTGCATTGTCCCATGGTGCCCGGCCGTGTACAAGACTTCAACCAGTTCAAACACGAGTGTTCACCCAATGTTTTTTTTTTGTGTTATGACAAGTTCATTTTTTGGGGTTAATTTTGTTAATGGAAGCCCTAGGGATTTTTGGGTCTTGACTTTTTTATTCGATCATCCTGTGTACCCCGGGGGGGGACAAGTTCATAATTTTAATGCTTCTGTTTGCTTGTAGGAATTCAAATAATGTTGTGGGGATCTCTTCCCAACTCAAAAGAAGACACCGAGTTGAGCGATGATGATATGTGGATGGAAGAATGCTGCAGATAAATTAAATATAAAAAAGAGAAGGGAGAAATAAATATTTATACCTTAACAAATGTACAAAGGCGCGATGTAAATAGATAATAAGCCAGTTAAGTCAAACTGTTGTGAAGAGTTTGACATTTTTCAAAAAATTAACTCCAAGAGGGTAAAGTTCATGTTCTTGCCATAATAAAGGAGAAATAGGATAATATCCACTAGTTTGTTTAAAAAAATTCATAATCACTGTTGGTTAGCTTGTTTATGTTAATATTCTTTTATTTCATCGTATTAGATTTTTTGTTTCTTCTACAATGTACTTGGTGAAATCTTCTTGATACAGATACCAAAGGGTCAAAGCCTAGTGTCCTCATTACAGAGGTGTCCAGGCATGTTATAGAGTAAGGATATGATGTTTTCAAACTTTGGTACCAAGAGAACAGTTCATAGATGAGAGGTTTCTGCTGTGCTGTGCTCTAAGATTAGTCTAGGGAGGCTCATGCTCTGAACCTGTGAAATCCAAGATACCCAGTGTACAATTTTTTTGCAAAAACTGAAAGAGTCAAGCCAGATAGAGCGTACCCCCCAAGATTCCATCAATGAATTTATAATTCGAAAGTTTAATGCATTGGTAGTTGCAGATTTCAAATTCTTCTCTACATTCTTACATGCATATTGAGCTGTGAATTCACACGCAAGGGAGTTGCAAAATTTCTGCCAGCTCAGTTTTCCTGAATTTGATGTTAATGTCTTTTAACAAATTTAATCCATTCAAGCATTTTCAATCTGACCAAATACAGAGAAGTTTTTGTAAAATATTCACTGCTCATTACGCATGCAGGAATGCCGATTTGAATTTGACACTAGTTATGGGAGCGACTAATGGATGCCTTTTCAAATAATCAATTCATTAATAGAATCTTGGGGGGTACGCTTGACCTGCCTTGACTGTAAGAGCCCCTGAGGTTTGCCTAGACTTGCACCAAGTTGACCTCTTTTTGTCAATAGTACAACAGAAAAATTTGTAAGTAACCTGAAAGCAAGCAAAGCAAGCTTTAACTAGGTACTTGACAAAACAAGACCATTCGACTAAGAGGGACTTTGTGAAAGTCTTTTTGTTTAGTTTCATCTTGATAAGCTAGTAAAGAAGTAACTTTTTTCTTGGTCTAAATATTAGGTTCATTCTTCAGAGCTCAAACCAGAGGCAGACAAAGGTTTGAGGGAATATAAATGACATGTTTATTGTTTTTAGATAGTGATTATATTGAGACTCTGAACTTGTCAAACCATGTGAGATGGAGATTCTTTAAGGTATCTTTTTGTGAAGTCAAGTCTGATCGAGTGAAGCAGAAACCACTAAGAAGTATGAACTGATGTTAGGGTGCCACAATCTGTTGAATATTATGGAAATATTCTCTGCCGCATAGCAGCTTGAAGGAAGCATGTCTGCTTGAATAAAAGCTCTGAAATAAAATAATGATGACTGATAAAACTTGTGTTGTGCTTTCTTGCTATGTAGAAATCTTTGAGTGAACTTAGAAGCATTCCTTGGAGTAAAACATCATTGTTACATGTGGTCTGTTCCAGGCTCCAAGTAGCCTGCAGGGCCAGCGCTAAAAGGGGAAGGGGAAATTTGTCAGCCATGCAGTGGTCCATTCTTGAAGAATACTTAAGATGAAATAAATCATCTCCTGGGAATTAGATAGAAAAAAATAACCTCTGGAACCCAGGGTACCAAGATAGCAGTGCAGTCGTTTAGCAAAAAGTGATATGACAAATGCCGGAGGCTAGGGAGAGATATTGTGTGTCTTATTTTCACTTGGCTTTTTTATTTTTGCCATGTCCTTACTATCCGAGGGCCTATTACAGGCTATCTTACACGCTATACCATAGGGGCACCTGTGACAATTTCTGCCAAAATATCTGTTGCAAGGAATTTGAGATCTAGAATTTTTGAACATTTGTTCTAAACTTTCTTGCTTGCCAGTGTGGTAGGTTAAACTCTAAAAAATGGTATAATTGCCCATTTTTCCAGATTTTTTCAAAATTGTCAAATTATTTTAAAATTTTCAGATTAAAATTTTCTTATGAATTTTCCCTATACCATTGGCATTACTAATTTCAGCTAGGAAATCCAAACAGAGGAAAGTTTTTTGGGGAAAAAATATCTTGTATATACATTAAAAGGGATAAAACACTTTAAGTGGTTTTGAACTCATTAACAGCTTGTATGTTGTACCCCACTACCCTGTCTTCAGTCACCTTGAGATGGCTCATTAGCACACAAATAATGACTCCCTCAAGAGTCAAAAAGTTTTTGGCAAAGAGCATTTGCATCTTGTCCAAATTAATACCAGCAAAAAGTAACTTGTTCCTGACCTGTGTGGACTTTCTTTCAGCCTAACCAACTGCCCAAGATCACTGAAGATAGTGTTTATGAATTTCAAAAGGAATGTTTAATCCAAACATAAGAGTAAAAAGCGAGGTAAGAAAGCAAAATATTGTCATGACAACACATTAACATGAGACAAAAGATGGAACTTTAGTGTGGTCCTAGAAAAATGTTTAAAGGATTATTGTTTTGAGTTGTCAGATTTCATTTTGTTATTACAAAAATCCCAAAGGAGACATTGTCATGCAGTCTCTTCTTCCCAAAAATAGTAAAATATCCAAAAATGGGTATCTGTTATTTTTTCCTGTGGATAGGCTCGATTTCTGCCACCCTCTCAGCCCTCCCTGAGAAGAACTGTTCTGGGGAGAAGCACAAGTTCATCTCCTGAACAGTAGCTGGTAATCGAGCCTACAGAAACGACTAAATTTGAGACAACTAAAATTAACTTTGCACCATATAATACTATATTTCACATCAGGCAGTTACTTAATCTGAAACATATCATATATATCTTCTCGTCAAAAGGATTTCTAGTAATCTTTCTTCAAATACAGTTACTATACTGTTATACAGCAAAATTCTTCCATGGGAAATATTATAAACTTCTTATTGGTAATCGTAGAAAAGCTGAGATCCTCTAACCTACTACTTCATCTAAATCAGTGTTTAAAAAAAAAAGCTTGCCATAAACTAATGTGAAAAAAAAAACTCAAAAAAGCACAATTTACATCCAGATAATTACATTGTAAAGTTTATGTTGTTTGTAGAGTAACTTCAAGTACAAATGGATCACTACTACATGATATTATTATTATTATTATTATTATTATTATTATTATTCTTTTATACCTTAGTGACGTGAATGGGAGAAAAAAGCCTCTTAAAATGATTGTTGCTAAAGCAAAAGAGTAAAGTGGAGCAGTGTCTTTCAAAATAGTAACCTGGTTATCCGGCCTTCCTGAGAAATTTTTTCAATCATTCCCCCATGAAAATAATGAGTATTAGATGGTTCCACATCATATATGCCAGCCACAAAGCTTTGTGTCATTGTCTCCTTATTTTAAGACATCAAAATCTGGGATACTTGCCATTTCCATGATTGTCAAATATGGAAATTGTAATTAAAAATGGTTTGTGCCACTTTGTTTGGAAAAAACATGGGCTATGATCTGAGGTCATGCAATATTTCTACTCTTTTTAGTCTGTTTAGCTGATTTGGATATACTTTGTAACAGGTCATTCTCCAACCATGTGAAATTTTGTAGTTTGATGTTTAATGCACAAGATTACCACCCAGATGGTTAGTGTAAATGGTAAGCACCCCAGGTGAGGTCTTGTCTTATTTCAAGGAGCTCACTTAAGCTGTGTTTTGATGGAGATTTGCTAATTTTCCTATACCAAAACTTTGAAATCACCGTGACATTCAGTAGATCGTGACCAAACAATACATTACGTACATTACCTATCAAAACTTAATCAAAAACAAATACCAACCAAAATGACCCTAGCTAACCTAATATAATAAGCAGCTAAATAAATAAAACTTCTAAACGAACAAAGTCGCGTGAAAATTGACAAATGCAGCCATGAGTGACAGTGACAGTCTTAGCTACAAAGTCAAAGGTTATAGGTACATCATATCAGCTGTTACTAGTTACTGTTTAAATTTTCTAAATCTAAGTTCTAAATGTTTCAGCTGTTAAACTTAGTTCAATCGACGACTGTATGCTATGATTCTTTCTTGATAACATGATTATTCATTCCATTTTCTAGACCTTCGCTTCCTGAATTGTGATTTTCTTGAATTAGTGATCCGTTCGCCAGTGATGTTGTGACAGCGGTCAAAACTACAGCTTGGTTTACGTTTTCACTGTTCGAGTTCGTAAATTGAACATTTATTTCCGAAGGAACTGTAATCCCACCGTTAGCAAACAGAGATCTTAAAACGTTCAACTCCTTTTGAAGTAACGACACTTTGTTTCGTAACTCTTCGTTTTCTTTTGATAACTCCACGACCCTCTTCCGAGTCTCTTCGATCCGTTCCTTGGCTTTCATACGACTCTTCCGCACAGCAATATTGTTCCTTTCCCTTTTCTTAACATAATCATCGTCTGGGTCTTTTTCCGCGGGACGTTTCACACCTTTAGCCGTCTTAGCTTCTCCTTTTTGATTCGACGATTCCATTTTTAAGCTGTATTCTTTGCAAGGCTTCTTCCCCTCTTGCTCGATTACCTAATATACTTTAAAAAAAAGTTGCAAGCTTGCGCAATCATTTTGGCAGATTGCGTTAATAGCTTAGCAGCCAAGCTATGCGTAGTTTCAATTGCGCTTAATTCTCTTTTGATGACCGCTGTTCTTGAGAAACGTGTTCTCAGATGACAAAGCAAAAAACGGGAGAACTGTGAAGTAGTCTGTGGATTTTTTTTTTTGGCCCTTGGGAACATGCCAGGCTGCCTACAATTTGTGATTCAGTCTCCAAGAGGGTATCAGCGGAGTTTGAAAATATTTTTGCCCAGATTTCGGATTCAAAGCGAGATTTTAACCGATTTCCGAATCCTGTAATTGCAAGGGATTGCGGATTCATCAAATTTTTGGGCCCGGATTTTGGACTTTGCGTGTAATTAAAATATTTTTGCCCGGATTTCGGATTCAGGGGATAAAGTGGAAGGGCGGATATGGTAAATAAATCATAACAGTTCGGCGGATTTGCATACCCCTATTCACCCCCTCCTTCAAAGTTGTTGGGGTAGCACATGTGGCTTTTCATTTTTCGCGTGGTGTGCGTCATACCCTACCACATTTTTGAAGATGGTGCGAGTGGGGGAAGGGAGCCCGCTTATAGAGGGGCGAAGTAAATGAAAGGTAGGAAAATTTGTCCCTGCAGAGAAGCCCAATGATGGCTTATACGAGGGGCTCTGCATTTACAGCAGTTAAAAAGGACGAAAGGGGTTAAAGGGGTTTCACTAGTTGAAGTAAATGAAATGGGGTGGTGGCTTTTAGGTTAAAATTTGTCATTTTTTTACGGTCTGCAAAACCTTTTTTTTGAATAAAGGTCCAAAAGGATCATGAAATAAGCTCTTCTAACAGATGCATGGCTGTTAAAAGGAAAGTCGAAAAACGTTCTAGAGAAGGATTATTCGTGTGAGACGGGTTATCCGTTTGATGATTTATTCATATGTTTAAAAGATACTGCATTTACAGAAGTTAAAAAAGACGCAAAGTTCTAAACTAGGTATGAGAACCAGGCGACCATTAGCCAATAGAAGGTATACGAAATGGGTACCTTTTATTAAAGGCCGCAGGATTGGATCTCGGGGCGGGGCCTCAACCTCCCCATATGAATTTTGTTGAGTACTCCGTATAAATTTTGTAAAGGAGGATTAGACTCACATATGAAAGCTAGGGTGCGAGGACGCTGATCGTCTCCTATAGGGGGTGTTAGTTTTAGAGTTTATGGATTTTTCTGGACGAACGCCAATTTGTTTGACCACTGAATCCGCTAGCCCCACCCGCTCACTGTTTTTATCTTTTCACATCTCTTCGCGCTGCCACCACGATTTGAACGCCTGGAACAGGCTATCTTCTGATTGGCTACCCGAACGGGCAAAATGGTAGCCTGTGTGGCTAGCGTTTCCTTGCAAGTTCGTATAGAAATTTAGAAAGGAACATTCGTTATATCGAGGTTCCGCTGAATCAGGTAAGTGCAAGAGTCCATCAGTTTATCAGCTCCACTAGCTCTTGGTATGTAACCGCCCTTTCTGTTAGTCCCCTCAACCCCCCGTCCCTCCCCCCGCCAAAAAAAAAGAAAAAGAAATAGGGAGGTTCGAGTTTTTGAGCCCCCTTAAAAATTCTAAAAGGGTGTATACCGTTGGTGTGTACTGTTTTAGGGAATCCCAAATTGCACGTGAGTGTATATTCAGTAGCTCTCGTCATGAAATGTAAGCAAAAATCGAACAAAAGAGACACATCATTAACCTATAAGCTGCTTAAAATCGATATTATAAAGAAATTTAATACCTTTTCACCGAGCAAATGTGGAAACTATACGGGAATGTTGCAGGTGAGCCCACCCTTAATGTTTATGCACTATCGGTTTATGTCTTCACAATGGTCTTCAGCATTTCA